GATGAGAATCGGAAGCATTTTATGTACAAAGATTACGACTTCAACATTACGATGTTTTGGTCGCCCTATTTGGTCAAGACGGGGGTGACATTTTCTGAATTCAACGCAAACCCCTTCGACCTGTATCTAGACGAGTTCGATGAATCTTGGACAACCAAAATCAAGGATTTTGACTATGTAATAATCAATGCCGGCCACTGGTTCTTCAGACCCACCACTTTTTACCTAGAGGGAAAACTCGTGGGATGCCTTTACTGCAAAGATCCCAACATTACCCAATTATCAAGTGCTTTCAGTTATCAGAGGGCTTTAAGAACAGCCTTTCGAGCAATTAACAGCCTGGAAAATTTCAAGGGCGTGGCGTTTTTCAGATCTTTCGCCCCTGAACACTTCGAACACGGGCGTTGGGACCAAGGTGGAGAATGCAAGAGAACAGTGCCATTGAGGAGGAACGACTCGTCAGCTCTGAGCGAGTTCAAGCTTGATTTATACGACATCCAGAGAGAAGAATTCAGGATTGCAGAAGAAGAAGGCAGAAGAAAGGGGACGAGATTAAGGTTGTTCGATGTAACACAGGCAATGTTGTTGAGACCGGATGGACATCCTAATAAGTATGGGCACAGGCTGAACCTAAATTTCACTTATTACAATGACTGTGTGCACTGGTGTTTGCCAGGGCCAATTGATACCTGGGCAGACTTCTTTCTGGAAATGCTCAAGAGGGGGTTCCAAAGTAGATCACCAAGCTGAATTTTGTACTTCTATCATGTACCCTTAGCTTTTTTGTTTGAAATTCAATTCGCTTAAGTTTATAAGTTTTACTTTGTTTGAAAATAGAATGCAATGAATTATTAGAGGTTTCTTAGATACATTACCCCACTCACAAATTTTACTTTGTTAGAAAATCGGAATGGCAATGGGTGGAAGGTTACTACATAATACATATATCACCGACCCACACATCTATACCCCACCATGTAAACTATTAAATTGAATGAGTTCAATTTTTATTCATTTATAATGTTATTTATATATTTATAGATGAAGGTCCTATTTGGTAAAATAGTCGGTCTATCATCCAATTTTGACTTATTTGACCACTATTAAATGTTTGACTTGGTTAAAAATCAATATAAGTGTTTGGTTAATCAGCTTTTTATAACTCCAAAATGCTAAAATTCAAAAAATTGCTCAAATTATCTTTTTTCAAATTAGTTTTTTTTAGAAAATAAATTATACCAAATAACTCTATAAGCTAACAGCCAATTTACCAAACACCTTTCTACAATAAGCTAATGTTGTTAACTAGTCATTCCCTCTAACCCAAGCAACTAAAACTATTTGCTAACAGTCATTTACCAAACAAGCCCGAAAAGTCTTTTTCATGTTGCTGTTAAGTTTCTTCTTTCACTGCAAAATTCAATGGCTTAATGTGAACTGTTTGTGGTTATCATCCATGATGGTGCTGATAAGAAGAAAAGGCATTTTTTTTTGGTAGAAATAATTTCTTATTGGCCATTTAAGATCCGTCAGTGGTCCCAGTATATATAAGAGGAAAACAGCCATCCAAAATATGCAATTCATTACATTTTTTGTTTATTAATGGTTTGCTGTTTTTGTGAAAAACTGGACCTAGACCACACACTAATTTAAGGTAAAGAAAAATAAAAGATTTTTTTTTAAATAACTGGGCTACTTTCCTGGGCTCTGATTGATTTGATCCAAACAAAGATTTGTGAATTTGGGCTTGTTATCTGACCCATTTCCCATTGGCACATTGGGCCCACTTTAAAGTTTTCGGCAAATTATGGTCTACATAGTGTTATGTGGACCATACTAAAAAGTACATTTTTTATATACTAAATGTATATTATTCAATATAATGTACGCTCAGTAAAAAAATAATGTACATCCTCTGATGATACATTGTACATTATTTTTGTACTGAATGTACATTATTTTACAGTATACAAAATATGGTCTACACAACTTGTGTTGACCATGGTCTACACAATAATGATTGAAAGTTTTCTGATTACTTTTGTGTGTTTTTATTAAACAAACAAAAAAAAAAAACGAAGACATTTGATGTAACTATACTTTTTTGAGTGACTAGAAAAACTCACATCTATTACTTGGACTAAAAGTTTGTATGAGACTGTTTCACGAATCTTTGTTCGTGGGTCAATATGAAATGTAATATTTATAATGAAAACTTTAATACTAAGTGAGGAATAAAATGTTTATTACTTGTATGGAAAAATGTAATATTTTTGAAAAAAAAAATAATACTTTTACATTTTAATTTAAAAGTCTTACATTTGACTTTATAAGTAACAAACTTGCCAACATTACTTATAAGGGAAATTGTAATTCTTTTGATTAAAAAAGTAATACATTTACATCAAAATGTAAAAGTATTACATTTGTCCTTAAAAATATTATGTTTTAAGTAACAAACACTTTATTCGCCAAGTAGCTTGTAGCTCAATGACACCTTTGTGATCTCCCAAATGTGGCATCACAAGTTTGAACCCCAATGGAAGGCATTGACTCTTTGTGCTTCAACATGTTGAGAAAGTATGTATGAACAGATACTACATTGTAAATTTATAATAAAGTCAGTAGTACTCAAAACAAAAAAAAAAAAAAAAAAAAAACAAAAACAAACAAACAAACAAAAACACACACACACAAAACAAACACTTTATTCATATTCTTAATTAGTATTATATTTTTAAGTCTAAGTATTACATTTTTATATTGACATGACACGACCGTCTCACAGATATGGTTTCACACAAGTGTGACCCTATTACTTGAGAGTATGCATTGGATAAACTCTATTCATCACATAGGAAGATTTTGTACGATAGTTCGACAATGTGACTATGTGGATGTTGACAAGAATCTAACTCATAATTTTTTTAGTACAATAATTATGCTCTACTCACTCAATCATCCCCTCCTGGAATTAATGTAACTATACTTATTTAGTATTCTACAAGTATAGAAGACTTGGTCCTTTCCTTCCATGGCACTCAAAAAGAAACAGGACTAAATTAAAGTTGATAAATCTTTATGTACACGACTACTCCATCTTAGGGGGATTAAGTATGATTATTGTAACTGAACATATACTATATTGTAAAGGAGTCACTAATTTTGAAAAAAAAAATATGATTATTTTATTAATTGGAACTACTAATACAGCAATGTTATGGTGGTCTACCAATCTACCTCTTAAAATTTCCATAATGCCCTTGAATTTTTGCATTATTGTACCTCTTATCAAAATTCTCTTATTATACCATGGCTAAACAAATATTTGTCTTTCATTATTTTTGTTTTACCTTTAAAAGGAATATAATGACAATAGTTTTTTTTTCTTTTGTGCATAATAATAATAATTGATTCTACAATTAACGGTTAATGGTATTTTTTTTTATAAAATTTTTGGCATACAACATATATATAATATTCATACCATTTTGAGACTAATTCAGTAATTCATATGCGATTCAAATCACGTCCACATCATTTAAAATTTACTTAAGAGAAAACTTGACTTTAGCTTGATCAATGGTATTTTTTATATATGCATATATACACTATTAAATATCTTCGTCACTATAAGACTAATCTGAATCACACTCTTTAGAAGAAAGTATATTCTCGTAAATAACGTTATATAATCAGGCTTAGTATTAGGAGCCACCAAATGCAGTCATTAAAAGAGATAATGAAACACGAAATCATATTTATGAATTATGATCAACCGCTGCACTTCATCTGTGTTTGTATATATATATATATAATGATGATGGTATGTTGCTTTTGACTTGGACCTAACACGTTTGTCTTCTTTACTTTTAGATCAAGATCAACTTAGAACTACTTCCCCCCTCATTACTTGTAACATCATTAGTTTAATTAGATATATGGACATCGTTCAATTAGTGTAAATTAATCTAAGTTATTTATATATAGTTGATTCGCTCAAACTGAGAAGACCATTAGACCACTTACATTAAAAGTCAAACTTAAAATCTTGTGATTACTAAATCAACAATATAACCAATAATAATTCGATTGAGTTGCCGTTTAATTAGTTTTCTTAGTCACATGAAATAGCTCCAAAATTTAATTTTAAAAGAGGAAATAGTTGGTTCACCCTCTCAACATTCAGGCATTATTATTTTTGTAGGGGCCGCCGGGGAATACACTCCATATTTATCCATATCCGTATGCTTCATTATTTTATTAAGACTTTTGCCTTTCGGTGAGCCATGGGAATGATAGATAGCTAAACCACTCGTCACTGCAATATATGATATTGTTTAACAATTAACCATTAGGGAATAGTATATGAACATATACTACAATTTAATAGAGTCAGTAGCATTCAAAAAAAAAAACCATTAGGGGATAGTAAATTGTGTTTTTTTATTTTGATGGGTATTAATATTTTATAAAGATGGTAAACGCCAACTAAATAAACTAAAATTTTTATTTTAGTATTTTGACTTAGTCAATCCGCTAAAGTGTTTTTTTTTTTTTTTTTTTTTTCAAAATGCTATTTACCAAACAATATTAATACCACCCGCTTTGGAAAAAAAATATTGTAATTTATTGTTATTATTTCATTTTGGTTCATTAACAAATAGAATTGTGTAACAAGAGTGTTTTTGTGTTTCGACAACAACATTTCTTCCTAAGAATTTGTGAAAACTTCTTCTAGGATTGTTATCCTAAGATGTCTAGTAAGGTATAATTAGGTAACATGGACATATAGAAAAGAGTGTTTATGTGATAATAATAATACATGTTGTGTTGTGAAGGGTAAACAAATGAAGTTGGAATAATTAATTAGCTTAGGGATACTATATGTAGGTACAACTAAAACCATAATAATATAATAATAATATACATATGAGTCCCACGTTGGTGTTGTCTATAATACAAATCACAAATAAGCAATTAAGCATTTATTTGTTGTTGTTGTTGTAATCATTTCCCATTTCTGATTTCCCCACCTTCTCTCCTTACAAATCCATGGAGCTACCCGCCGGGAAAAGTAGCTCCACGGCGCAAAAATGTCCGAAGATAGTAATGTTTGCCTTCATAACATTGGTAGCAATAACGTTGGTGCCAGTGTTCCGGTCGTTCAATAAATACCCAAATCTCGCCACCCTCGATGCGTTGTCGGAGGTGTCGCCGCCGTACCACGGGAGGGAGGAGGAGGAGGAGATCGAGATCAAGGAGGACGACGAGGGGTGCGACATCTTCACCGGAGAATGGGTGCCCAACCCGAATGCCCCGTATTACACCAACGCCACGTGTTGGGCGATCCACGAGCACCAGAACTGCATGAAATACGGGCGGCCGGACGATGGGTTCATGAAGTGGCGGTGGAAGCCCGACGGCTGCGACATGCCGGTGTTTAACCCCTTCCAGTTCTTGGACATCGTTAGGAACAAGTCTTTGGCTTTTGTCGGAGACTCTGTCGGACGAAACCATATGCAATCCTTGATATGCCTCTTGTCTCGGGTAAGCTTTCCACTTCCTCCACAAACCTGTTAACGAACCCGTATATACGAATTCTCAGGTTATTAACTAGGTAATTCATATCGTTTTACATATATAATCACTTTTTAATATTCACTCTTCACCCCAACATTATTTACCAAAAATATTAGTAATCGCTTTCTTAGTTTAAGTTGATCAGCTATGGGTAACTTAGATTGGTCTACCTTTCCGTGCTCCTTTAATTTGCTGGCTAGGATCACAATGTTAGGTTTACCCATTCACACTTTCAAAAAGTGACTGTTAATATTTTGGTTATAAAAATAAAAAAAAAAAACAAAAGAAACATATACAAAATCAAATATAAAACAATGACACAAAACAAATCTTTTATCTGAATTTTGTTTAACCCATTATTTAAGGAAATTCTTTTCAGTTTTTTTTTTTTTTGGCATTTTGCAGTTTATGGTCCTGAATGCTCCCCATGTATTATTGATGGGGAATCATTAAATTTCCTGTATGTTGTGCAATTCAAAGATTAGGTCAAGTTAAGTACAAGGTTTAGTAACCTAAGCCATTTAACGTTTCAAAGTTTGGTGAATTCTTGAAGGAATCATTATTGTTAAGTCCTAGAATGATTAGCATACAGTACAGTGAACTGTTGTACACTTTAACCACCCAGCAGAAATTATAAAAAATTTTCCTATATGAAGCCTTCATTGATAATGATATTTTATAGCCTTCATTGAACTTTTTATATTTTATATTCATAATATAGGAAAAAGCCAAGTAGGTAATATAAAATATTAACATTTCAGAATAGTGTATGGATGCATCAGCCTGTTCATATGATGGGTTATTATTTCCCTTTTTCGTAAACCATAAGATTTAATTACTTAAACTGAAAGAAAGCAAAAAGTTCCCAGAATTATAATCATTGTAGACCCAAAGCATCCTGGTATAGTAGAGCATAAAGTGCAGGCTCTTTACCTGTTACTAAAGACGCTACAAGCTAATTTTACTGTCTCTGATTTACGAAAAACTCATAACTACTACTTAAATATGCAACTCATCTTATGACTCTAATCAAAAAAGAATCTTAAACTAGTAGAGATTGTCCATAGCTAACAATCTCAAATTAAAAAGTCCAATAAAGAGTTAAATTTAGAACTTTATATTCTACTGATTCCTACACATATAATATTATTACGTTTTTTTTAAAAAAGATTCAGAGGGAATCCAATCTTGGCATTTTACAGTTCACATGATGCGTGGTAGCGATGATCGTGAATGACATGTTTCTTGATCGATCTGGGAATTTTCACAAACAAATATTTTTTTTTGTCTATGATCTGCTACGTTGACTGTTGTACGTAGCAATGCAGTTCCTGTGGATCTGCATCAACCCCAAAGTTTAAAACAATATTCCCGACATACATAGATTCTCTGTTGGATATATTATATACATAACTTTACACGTTCAAGATCATCTTGTTATACGTAATCTTCATCTTTGTTTTTCACTATCTTATCATGTGCCCACTATCTTTTTTAGGTAACAAATGTGTACAGAGTAAATCCAGTCTTATCATAATTTATTAAAAATTAAATTTGAAGTCTGTAAAGTTATAACTATTAGGTTATTTATTAGGTCGGTCTAATTAAAAGACAAAATTTGGTTATATGATTTGAGTATTTGATTTTGATGGGATGTTTTAGGTGGAGTATCCGATCGACGTTTCAACGTCGAAAGACGAAAACTTCAAACGATGGAAGTACACGACGTTCAACTTCACGATGGCGACGTATTGGTCGCCGTTCTTGGTGAGGGCGAACCAGGCGAGTTCCGACGGGCCGACTCACACCGGGCTGTTCAACCTCTACCTAGACGAGGCGGACGAGGAGTGGACGACAGAGATCGAGGGATTCGACTACGTGATCATAAACGCCGGCCACTGGTTCCACCGTCCGGGGGTGTACTTCGAGAACGGGCGGCGAGTGGGGTGCCGGTTCTGCCAGATCGAGAACGTCACCGACCTCCCGATGGCCTACGGCTACCAGATGGCGTTCAGGACGGCGTTCAAAGCCATAAACGCGCTAGAGCACTACAAGGGCATCACGTTCCTGAGAACGTTTGCGCCGTCGCATTTCGAAGGCGGGGAGTGGAACGACGGGGGGAATTGCGTGCGGCGGAAGCCGTTGAGGAGCGGTGAGGCGGTGCTGGAGGGCGGAGACATGGAACAATACCTGGCGGAAATGGAGGAATTCAGGGCGGCGGAGAGGGAAGGGAAGAAGAAGGGGTTGCGATACAGATTGCTGGACACGACGCAGGCGATGTTGATGCGGCCGGACGGACATCCTAGTCGGTATGGGCATTGGCCGCAGGAGAATGTAACGTTGTACAATGATTGTGTGCATTGGTGTCTGCCTGGTCCCATTGATTCTTGGAGTGATTTCTTTCTTCATACGTTGAAGATGGAGGGTAGAAGAAGTTATAAAGAAAAGCTTCAACTTCTGCAACAGGAAAACATATAATCCGATCGATCCACCAGTCCAGCACCAAATCCTTGTTCCTTTTAACTTTGTATCTTTTAAATTCCTTCATAATTAAGGGTTTTGTATTATCATTATCTCACTTGTAGTGTCTTTAATCTCGATCAGCATGTATTGTGGAAAGGAAAAAAAAACTTGTTGTATACAAATGTGTACCACTATCAGGTGACTTGACTTCACAATTTTTTATGTTTATCCTCTGTTATAGATTAACCAACCTATTATGAATTTTCATGGGTACAACCAAAAGTTAAAAACAAAACTACATATATATCATTTATTTTGTTAAAGGGACTTCCAAGAGTATAAAAAGGGCATAATATCCTCGGGCGAGTCTTAGTTCAATGGTTCAATGAAATTTTGAAAGTCCTATTTCAAGAGTAAGTGAAGGTTCGAGATTTTGACTTATTAAGACATTTTGTTAAGAGAGAATATATTATTTGGACTCCCAAGTTCTACTTCATACTTTTACTCCTTCATTCAAAATTGTGATGTTGATATTTTCTTTGAAATCTACCAGATAAAAACAATTTATTATCGCTTGACACATCAAGAAGTAAAAGTAATAGAGTAGAGATTGAGATTCATGCCCTAAAACACTTTGTTAAGTACCTTGGTTCTTGCATTCAACATTCTTTTTGTTCTTAGTGCTTTATTTTTCCAACCAGTAGTGTTGGCTAGTCAGCGACCAATCCATTTAGATACACTATAGACCTGTAGTGTCAGTTGGTAATTAACATACAAAAAAACGCGCGCGTCGTTTCTTTACTTAAAGAAACGGCGCCGTTTTGACCGCGGTCCACGATATAACGACACATCCTGTTCCCTGAAAATTTTCTTCATTTTCGTCCCCGCACGGTTCAAAAGGTCACGTGATTTCACCTCTACAATTTTTACGTAAAAATTACTTTAATTTGTTTGCATTTATTTTTCATATTATGTTCATATTTTATTTTAGGATTCAAGCTTGATCGTTTACTAGTAAGTCATTATTTTATTCGATTCAAAATAATAGCCAATTAAAATAATAAACAATTTATATCACATTAGCTGGGCAAGCTAAGGTATAATATAAACATAGAATTATTATATATTTATATTTGATTTACGGGATACCAAGTGATGTGGTATTGGGGAGACATAGAATCCTTCCATGAATAGTAACCAGGCGACCAGCAGAATTGCCTTCCTCCATCATCACCTTCATTATCACCTCTACTGTGAATCCACCATAGAAGATTTGTTAGAGAGTTCCCATCATCATATTCATTCAAGTTCCTTATCTTCTCCACAGCACCCTCTTTATCATATTCATTTGCCCCCACCCAACCCGACTTTCTAACTCCGGCATTCACTACTGGAAATTATTGAATTTCCGACCACCTGAAAGTGATCTTAAATCAAGTTGAAAGCAAAAAGTGGTCGGAAATAGCAACCAGGGTTTTTCCGGATACCAAAAGTGGTCGGAACAAGACTTTCGACTTGATTTAAGATCACTTTCAGGTGGTCGGAAATTTCAGAATTTCCAGTGACTGGTCTTCTAGAAGGTAGAAGACAACATGGGCAGTTTAGGAGCAACTGTCTTTACCAGTCTCACCAAACGTTATTTAGTTTGACAATCTTTAGCAATGTAATAAATAATGTCTGTGTGCAGTCACATCCTAAACTAATATTCTTCCTAGCTTGTACCTGCTGGTATATATGTTTTTCTCGTTAGATGACAAACTCTATCGACTATCTGACTTTCTTACTATATATATTTATTGTTTGAGAATGCTCAGAATTAAAGCATGTGCTCCATCTCAACTAAAAGTCTAAGCTGATAGTTGGATTGCATATTTATGTTTATATATATTATATGCTCAACACTCAGCTCCCATTGAGATCCATCAAGATGGCAATGGAGTGCAGGAATGAACTTTCGTTTGCCTTGCCTGTTGAGCCACCACGACGCTGCGCCAGTAATGTCTTTAGCAGCCATTTATGGTGTAGAGAAAGGAAACTGGTGTGTGTTACCAGTGGGAACTCATATTTTGGTGCTCATTTGATCAGGAAGCTTCTGGTTCGCGGTTATCTGGTTCGAGCCACCATTCAGAACCAAGGTAAATTAAATGTGTTGAAAATGGAGGAACACTGTATTCATCTATTTCATCGGTCTGAGTTTGGTGTTTTTTTTCCCACTTTTGAGCAGTGGACTTTGAGGAAATGAAGGAGCTATTGAGAGAAGAAGAGATGAAGCAGCTGGAAAGTGTAGTGGTGGCAAGAATGACAGATTTGGATTGTTTGTGTGAGGCATTTAGAGGCTGCCATGCTGTCTTCCACACCTCCTCTTTCATTGATCCTCATGGAATCTCTGGATACACAGTAAGCTAATTAAGCTTCTTGGCATAGTTTAGATGCGTTTACTTCAATTCTCCAGTTTTTCATTTCTCCTTTTTCGTATCCAGGAACGGATGGCGTTCCTGGAGACCGAAGCTGCGGGAAATGTCATTGAAGCTTGCAGCAAGACAGCCTATGCAAGAAGATGCATCTTCACCTCTTCTCTTCTTGCATCCATCTGGAAAGGCAATAACCATGAACATGATGATCTAGATGAGAGTTCTTGGACTGATGAGGATTTCTGCAGAGAAAACAAGGTATACATATAGATATTATTAGTCCTGTTTGGTAAAATAGTTAGCTTATAGGTCAATTTTGATTTATCTAATCACTATTAGCTTTTTGTTTGGTCAATTATGTTAAAATTCAAAAAGCTGCTCAAAACAACTTTTTCAATTTGCTTTTTGAGAAAAGAAATTATACCAAAACAGCTATCAGCCTAATTTACCACAAACACCTTTGAACACTCAGCTAATGTTATCAATTAGTTATACCCTCTAATTAATCCAATCAGCTAACAGCTATCAGCTAACAACCATTTACCATCTAGGGTCATAATCCCCTTTACATATATGAATGTTTTTTTTTTAAACCCAAATTAGTCGGATTGTTGGGTTGGTAATTATAAGGTTTCAAATTTAACTCATAGTGAGAGTGACCAATTGACCTTCTTAATTTGAGCCGGTCATAGGTAAGGTTTGGTTGTTAGTTTGATAATCACAAGGTTCCAGTTGAATTTTTTTTTTTTTTGTTTGAATTATGAATAACTTAGGTTGGTTTACCTAAACTTTACAAAAACATATTTTACTGCAAAACAGCTATGGTTTGCCTTGGCTAAGACGAGAGCAGAAAAGGTAGCTTGGAGGAAAGCAATGGAGACAAAGGTGAAGCTCGTTACAGTCTGTCCTGCACTCGTGATGGCTCCATCCTTCCCACACGCCGACACTGAATCATCTCTTCCATATCTAAAAGGCAATACATAATACATTACATTAAAAACTAATCTTCTTACGATGTTTGCAAGAAAAAATTAATTCCCAGATTCTATTATACTTGTGTTGCTGTTCCTTGGCTCCTTCAGGTGGGCAAGTCATGCTGCGACAAGGAGTTTTAGCGACTGAAGACGTTGATAAAGCGGCCGAAGCGCATGTGTTTGTGTATGAAGAAATGGATTATGGAGCTTGCGGGAGATATCTGTGCTTTGGACGAACGATTACAACGCCAGAAGACGCCGTTCTGCTCGAAAACAGATTGAAAATGCAGGGCCTGCTTTCTGCATATGAGAGTGGTGAAATTCCGGCGAGACTTTGCAAATCAAAGCTCACCAGATTACTGTTTCACACCGCTCGCCGGCTATCCTGCAAACACCGATAAGCATTGTGTGATTACTATTACTATGAAGGCTTGGACCAGAAAACTCATAATAGACTTACCCGGCTGGAACAGGATTAGTCCATATAGAGTTTTAGTGTATCTGTCTGATGAAATATGTGGTATGACAAAAAAAAAAAAAAAAAAAAAAAAGTGATACTTATACTAGCAAATATAATATTTATACTCATACTAAATAAAAAATAAAATATTTATTATTTATAAAGGAAAACATAATACTTTTAAGGACAAATGTAATATTTTTATATTTTGATGTAAAAACATTACTTGTTTCATAAACTATTACTCCTTCTGTCCCATTTTATCTGTTGGATTCGGTTAAGGCTTGACTAGAATTATTTACAATTTAATTTTTTATAATATTAAGTATAGAATTAGTAGCCAAGCACCTTGTGCTCAGATGACATATAGTGACCTCTCCCATGTGGGAGGTCGGAGGCGCTGTTGACTCTTTGTGTTTCATTTTGAACAAATACTACAATGTAATAGACTCAGTAGTATTAAAAAAAAGTATAGAATTAGTATGTAAAATTTATATATTTAGAAACTAGAGTAAAATTCAATTTTGGTCCACTGACTATTGAACTTGTGTTAATTGCAACTCTTGACTTACAAAAATGTTAATTTAGTACCTTGATTATACAATTTTTTATCAATTTTCGTCACGCCGGCCAAAAATGACCGCAAAAATAAAAGTCAACATTTAAACTGAATTGGAAGGGATAAAATCGTCCTTTCATGTTGAGTACGATTTTGGAAAGCGCTTGTTGACCAAAATAAAGGTTTCAGGTTTGGGAACAACAACAATGGCAGCGGCGGGGACGTCGAGGCTGCCGGAGAGGGGGATGGTGCTCCATATGGCGAAGAAGTGGCGAGATAAAGACATCAGCCCTGAGTGAACCAAAGTCTGGACCGAATCGCCGGAGCGCAGAGGCGTCGTCGTCTAATACATCTCTTTAAACGAAAAACTTCAACATCCCCATTTCATGGAACTCCGTCTCTCATCCCCTCGAGGTCTCTTTCTCAAAGGTAAACTTGAATTCTCTCCGAGGAGAAGGCATGGCTTCTCTGTATTCTTGGTCTGCGAAAAGGTAGAAACAAAGGGTGTTATTTTGGTCAACAAGCGCTTTCCAAAATTGGACTCAACATGAAAGGACGATTTTATCCCTTCCAATTCAATTTAAATGTTGACTTTTATTTTTTCGGTCACTTTTGACCGGTAATTTGGCCGGCGTGACCAAAATTGATAAAAATTACATAGTCAAGGTACTAAATTAACATTTTTGAAAGTTAAGGGATGCAATTAACATAAGTTCAATAGTTAATGGACCAAAATTGAAATTTACTCTAAAAACTATATTAAAAGTACTATTAAACACAAAAAATCAAAGCAAATAAGAAAGAATTGGTTAGAAACTATGTTAAAAGTACTATTAAACAAAAAAAAATCAAAGCAAATAAGAAAGAATTGGTTTGCTATGAGTTTTAATTTCGAGGTTTGCTACATCACTCTAGAGCTTTTGCCCTTGTACATAACATCACATAACTTGTAGAATTTTCTAGAGGTGTATATAACACTAGAGGTAGTAGAGATCCTTATAACATTCTATAGTCTTATAGAACCCATAGATTTGTATAGAGATTTGGAAAGGATTCTAGAGCTAGATTAATAGCCATAGGATCAAGTAAATCTTCATTGTCTATTGAGGAGGTGAAATGGCTATAAATACCCTTCAATGGCTCATTTGTAAACATTCTAGAATTCTAAGCAATCCAAGTTTTAATAGAAAGCATGGAACTTCATTAACACATCTTTTCTCTAGATCACAACTTATAATAGGGTATATTAATTGTTCTAGATAATATCTGAACATATAAAATAAAATAGAGGATTAATTTTATTGCAATTTATACCCATTCAAATGACCTAATTTACTTTACAAAATTTAGATGTCCTACAATATGAGGTTCATATATTAAATTGGCTCAAAAGCACTATAAAGTATGCAAACACAAAATCGATAAAGAGGTATTCAAAAATAGATGGTAGAACTACAAATGAACTATTCGTGTCCAAAAATCTTCACTAACCTTTTAGAAAATGTCTTCCAAAATTTTTACGCTAACAAATGGTTACTTCTTTCTTGGAGTTAGACTAGAAACATCTTGCACAGTGAACGCAAATACATTCAACAACCAATCTAATCTAGTTCTAAATTAGTACTAGGATCATATCCCTCGACAATATAGGAATCTTATTGTAATTTTGATCAGCCACTCTGATTTAAGTAAGACTCATAACTTCATACTTGTCCACCCCTCTAACCTAATCGTCATCATGCTTCTCATGGAAAAAACGCTTGATAAACTTGGGATCTAGATTTCTTTTATAACACAAGTTTATAGTAAAAAAAAAATGTAACTTAAATTGGACAACCAAACTATTGTTGTCAAAATTACAGTTTAAAAACGACGTTGTAAATTCAACAAAACTGTCCACAGTACATAGTGAACCATGGTCTATAATTATTTTTTTAAGACAATCTAAACATGACATATAGAATGAAGTATAAAAATGAAATAGGAAATAAGAGTCCATAAAGTATTACTCTATTTTGTATGGCGTGTTTTCCTAAAATAATGAGGACAAAATTTAAATAGTGAGCAAACTATGCGGGCTTATTTGCAATACTGATAAATTACGAGGACCTATTCTAGATTTATTCTAGAGGATGCCTCTTTCTTCTCCTCACTTCATCCTGGTTCACTCCATCTTCGCCTCCAGTGTGCGCTTTATACAGAGAACATAAAGGTCAAACAGAAGAAGGAGAAAGGTAAGACCTAGCACAGAGAGATGGGAGGAGGAGAGGATCCGCAGAGGTCTAAGAAAGTAGCGGCGGCGGCGTACGACTACGAGAACGATCCTAGATGGGCCGACTATTGGTCCAACGTTTTCATCCCTCCTCACATGGCCTCCCGCTCCGACGTTGTCGACCACTTCAAGCGCAAGTTTTACAAACGCTACATCGTTCGTAATCGTAAACCGAATAATATCTTTCTTTTTGTTTTTTTCCTTTTAAGCTCTTACTTTTTGCCTGCTGCAACACTGAAAATCCATATGCTGTGAATTATTGAATTAACCACCGATTTAGGTCTGTGTGGATATGAGCTTCAGTGCTAATGCGTATAATTTGTTTGTTACTCCGTATTATTGAAGTATTGTGCCCGTATTTATTGTAATAATCCGAGTTTAATGACTTGCTTATATCGAATTAGATAAGCTGCTCTTGGAGATTTGCGTTTCTGTTATTGTGATCAGTGCTCCTAGAAGTAATAAATGTTTATAGTATTCATAGTTCAAACTTTTTTTGAGCCAACTGTTTCCAGAACATCTACTGTGTTGGAGTAAATCATTGGTTTGGGCTTGGACCGCCTGACTTGTTGATGCCAATTTGATCATCTCTTTTCTTAAAGACTGAATTGTTACAACTGGGTTTATCTATTGCTTTTACATTATATCTTATGAATATCTTATGAATATATAGAACTGGTTTTCAGGGATATAAATAATTATTTGTTGTTTATTAATGATTTACATTTTGCCTATCTTCATCTATGATTAATTCTTTGTATTCATATATGGACTGCAGCTGCACTACCTAATGATACTTGATTGGTTACTATTGACAATATTACTCCTGATATTTGTTTGTATTAGTGACGAGACTGAGAAGCAAATTGAAGCAATTTATTTAGAGGGGCACAATTCGAGATCTAATATTTTTTGTTGTCAATGTGACTCCGTTTTATGTCACTTGAGTGATTGCTCCGTCATTTACCTGGATACATTGTGTTCTGCAGGACCCTGATTTGGTTATCGAACCTATGAATACTGGCAGTTCCTCCCAGCAAGCACAACCATCTTCCTCGTCGAACTCAACGGGTCAGTCACGACCACGTAATCCAGGTATTGATTTGGTTTCTCAAGTTAACTTTGAAATATTCAAATAGATTCTGGTTCTGAAAAAGGGTAGATAGGGAATTCCGTTCTCTTGACTTATTAAATATGTATTTAATACTTGTAAGTAATGTTTATTTAGGGTCTACTGCTAGGACATCCGGGACGTCAACAACCCCAACTTCGAATCCTACTTCTTTGCGTTGGGATCGACAGACTATACTGTTTTCTGTCAATGCTTGGGTATGTAAATTCTTCCCAGATAAATAAACATGTAAAGACTGTACGTAAATTCTGCTTTAGTACTGAGATCCAATTGGCAGGTCATATATTGTTTTCTTTGGTATCAGTCATTTTATTTGATGCTATAACTATTAGTTCATAAAGATGTTATATTGGTCTATTGTTTATTTCAATATCTAGCGTTCTATATATAAGAAACCTTGCATGTTTGTTTGGAAGTTTGATATCACAGAATAAAATGTTGTTGCCTAAAACATTGGTTACATGCATGTGTGATGAAATATTTGTTTGTACTTCTGTGGCATTGTTTAAAACCATTGCGACCTTTTTCTGTGCATTGGATTTGTATGCTTTTAGCTAGCTCAAAGACACATGTTCGTTGTTTATTTGCTATTAATGGTATATTTCTATCTACCCTTAATTCTGCAGGTCTTTGTTGTGGCAGTTCTTGCAATATTTCCCTTCATGTACACAAATCTGTCAAACAGGGCATATCGACTTTCATTCATGGGAACAGCATGCTCTTCCTTTTATTCTTTATATACACTCTATGGGGTAAATTTTACATTTAGTTTCATTCTGATTTCGTTCTAGAGTTCAGTGAATCCTTTAAAAGCTGTTCTGTCCAAATATAAGCTACCAAGTAACTCTTAAATTGTCTGCAGAAACCCAGGGCATGGAATTTGCAGGCAGTGCAAGTCTGGTTACAGTCTGTCATTGTGACGAAAGATTTTATATACTTCATTTACTCCCTCACTTTTGTCTCTTCTAATCTTCATCTGAAATGTGAGGGTCACTTCTTTTGCCTATTTTTTCTATTTTGCTTAAATTTGTAGCACATCTTCATTTCACAAAAATAATATACTGAATTCTGTTGCAGTTGCTATGATTCCAATTATATGTCGATCTGTTGAACATGTTGCGAAGTTCCTTAGGCAAAACTTTAGCAGATCCTCTTTATATAGGTAAGACACAAGGGAGTCCTCCTTTGCATGAAACCATCATAAATTTGTTTCTCTTCTATTACAACATGCCTCGATGATTTGTGTGATTAGTTTTCCTGCCAAGCAATAAATTGGTATTTTGACTTATCCTCTTGGGAATTGTCTACAGGAGATATTTGGAAGAGGCGTGTGTATGGGTGGAATCAAATACAACTACACTTAGCATACTGTCTTCACAAGCCCAGATTGGACTTGGGTTCCTTTTGATTATCTCTCTTTTCTCGTTAGTTCCTTCAGCCTATTTGCTCATTTTATCCCGTGATTGTGTCCATTTACAGAGTAGATTTCTAATTTCATTTCGTTCTTTTGTCAAAATGCAGGTGGCAACGTAGCATACTCCAGGCATTCATGTATTGGCAGGTGCGTGTAATGGTTGTGATTAAAAAATTTCCGGTTCCATTAATATTTCAAAAAACGAGTTAGCAAGGAATATTTCTTATGGGATTTAAAACCGTTTTAACAGTTATTGAAGCTCATGTATCATGCACCCGCAACTGCCAGTTACCACAAAAGTGCGTGGACTAATATTGGAAGGCTTGTCAACCCACATATACAACGCTATGCCCCGTTCTTGAATGGTCCTATTTCTGCTATACAGAGGTGGTGGTTCAGGTGAAAGGTTCTTGAGGATAATAGACATGACTTGTAACAATTAGATCAGCAAATACTTTCTGAAATTTGTATTCTTGATTTTACAAAAACAGAGGAGGTTTAACTGTTTAAGATACATGCTTAAGCTGTCCTGCTAACTAGAAGGATGTGTTTTTTTTTTTTTTTTTTTTTTTTTTTTTTTTTAAATGAAGGGAACTAGAATGATGTTGTTACTTGTTATGCCCTTTATTAATAATTTCCTTTTTGAGTAAAGATTTTGAATGTGGAGTTATTACTGCGTCAGTCCGGCTGTGTTGTAAGAACGTTTGGAAGAGTTCATTTTACCATCTTTATGGCTTATGCTTTTTATGTTTTGTTCTTCAATTTCTTTTCCTTTCTTTTTTATTTATTTAATTTTGTATGTAAGACATTCAGGGGATCAACATAGAGCTGATAGATATTATCATATATTTTTTGTGTGCATAATTTGATATCTACAAAAATAAGAGCCAATAAAGGTGGGGAGTCTTTAGCGTGAATTAAAAAAAACTGTTGGTGTAATTGTTTGTTGAAATGAATGATTTATATTATTTTGATTTTAGTATTTATAATTATTTCTTTTTTATTATATTATTTACTTCTCTTAAATACTCTTGTATTTAGTCATGTAAACTTTAATAACGGAATATTTCGTTAACTATTTACTTCGTATTATTTTTAATTTGCTCATTGACTTTCATTATGAAGGTCTTAGATTCGAACTTCATTCCAATCAAAATTGACATAATTGTTAAACATATATTATGAATATGTTAGAGTGTATTAAAAAAATACAATATAAAATTTAGCATGATCATTGACCAATTAATTAGAATCACGTATTAGACATTGATGAAATGGTACTAATTTACAGTATATATTTAACATAGATGAGAAACTATGTCTATTATCATTGTCTTTTTGGAGAAGGAGGATTTGGTTCTGTTTTTGAATGTGCATTGCGCCAAGGCACTACAAATTGCAATGAAGCACACCAGGGAACTAGATCAAATCAATAATTCATTTATGGTGGAAGTGGCAACAAGAGAAAGCATGGATCACTCTAATTAATATAGTTTTGTGTTGCAAAAACTATTGTTAGGGTATTATCCAATGATGGTGCTTCCTTCTAAAATTGTTATTGGATCAGTTAATCTAACCATTTTTGCCACAGGTCATAGTTATGCATTTTAAAAATATTCTTGATAGATACTCTTAATCAGGCACCAAGTCTAGGAGCGTGAAGAGTGGTCAGGCTCGACTGAAGAAAAATACTTAGCAATATGAAAGGAAGCCCCTTTCTTGTCAGCAACAACAGCGTGAGCACCCGGGGGACTAGGCCGCCTAGTAGGCGAGTCCCCGGTCAGGGCTTCTGGCTGGTTCAGATGGGCGACCAAGCTCAGTATTCGGTGTGTCCTTGATCGAGCTCCATAACGGGCTCGGTAGTCGGGGTGTCCCTGTCTGGGTATCCCAGCCGGGCCACCAACCCAGGTAGTTGGCGTGTCCCCGACCGAGTGCGCGCTTCAGAGGCGAATTCTGCGGAGATTCTTTCCTTGTCCAGCAAGTAGTTTCTTTTTTCTCCGTTTAGACAGTTACCACACTAAATATGGTAGATTCCAAAGCTCGTTTAGTTATTTTTCTCCCTTCTTGCCTTATGGAGGATCTATTTCTTGTATATACGCCAGAATACCGAATGATACTTTGATAAATTCTGAAACACTAATTTAAAAATACACATTGGACATCACACTATTTGTGCAATATGCGTGTGGTAACTAGTATAATTATATACAAGGCAACCCTAAGCAAATTGTTTAGATAGTTGGTTTGGTAACTATCAATTATAATTAGAAATTTATTACGGAGTAATTCTTTTGGTTTGAACTGATCAATTATGAATGCTTGATTGTTTTACTTTAGTGTGTGTGCGCGTGTGTGTGTTCTCACAGTCTAAGTAAGTTTTTTGCGCCAATATTGGCTGTAAATATTGCTTCCCCTTTCCCTATGTGATTTATTTATACATATTTTGAACTAGAGCTCTATAAAGAATAGAAATTCACAAAACCATTCATTTCTTACTAAACTCTTAAGTTGCTCTGTATTGAGTATTTTTCTTGGACTTCTTTATCCCATTATTTTTTTGAGCCCGTCCATGTTAACTAATCTGATGGGTCAGCCCTAGTATTTTTGAGTAGCGCATACAAGCTTTTTTTGGCAGATTATTTGTAAATACAGATAGTTCAAAAATTTTAAAGTTTAAATTTAAATATAATTATCGAAATATAAATTAATTAATTTATTTTTGTGACCAGCAAATTCCTTAAGAATGGCTACTTCTAAAATTTAAGGAAGAGAAAATTTCAATTTTGGTCACATGATTATAGGGGCTTTGTTAATTTCAACATCTAACTTTCAAAAGTGTCAGTTTAGTACCTTGAGTATTTAATTTTTTTCAATTTTGGTCACTCCGGCTAAATTGCTGGTCAAATTTAGTCGGAAAAATTTAATGCAACATTTAGTCTATAATCTTAGGGGCAAAATGGTCTTTTGATCCTTTCTCCTAATTATTGTTGTTGACCCGGTTCGCAGAAAAACCTATTTCAGTCTTGAAGAATGAAATAAAAATCTAAACTCTTAGCAGCTCACATTGAAGTTACTGAAAACTAGAATTTGAGAGTATTGAATATGAGTAACTGAATAGATTCCTAAGAAAGAAGACAACCCTATTTGTGGTCTGATCTGATAAATCCGAAGAACTACCCTCCTTATCCAAGTTGCATTTCACTGATTTCTGATTGGCTGCCAACCAAAATATAACAAAAATTTGTTAACACCGAATTTAGCAATCATAATACGAAAGATTCAACTATCTAATCTTCATTAAACAAGTGGCACATGTCAGTAAAACAACGGAACCGGGTCAACAACAATTAGGAGAATGTTTCAAAAGACCATTTTACCCCTCAGATTATAGGCTAAATGTCGGATTAAATTTTTCGGCCAAATTTGGTCGGTAATTTGACCGGAGTGACAAAAATTGACAAAAATTAAATACTCAAAATACTAAATTGACACTTTTAAAAATTAAGTGATGAAATTAACAAAGTCCCTATAGTCATGTGACCAAAATTGAAATTTTCTCATTTAAGGAAAGAACTTTCCCTCCACGACTTTGATAAGTGCAGTATTTTCCAGTGTTTTTTTTTCCAGGAATACTCTCCCGTTACGTTATATTTCTGAGTTGTATATCACTATATCACTATCACCCACCGTTATTAACGCAGAAAAGGAGAAAAAATCATACGCCCCGACGATATTGAGTTCGTTGACTACCCAGGCGGCGGAGCCAGTATCTCTGCAGGCCGTACCCTAATCATTGCCTTCGCGAATCCCAGCCTCTTGCCACAAAGATCTTCTCCATTCCCAACTCACCTTAACTCATTCAACTTCCGGCTGCTCCTCTCTCTCCCACCACTGCAGGTCTGCAGCCTCCTCCTTCTTAGGTTATTCCTAACCCTAATTTAGATTTTCATCTGCTAAATCTTAAACACTGTTCTTTTTCCTGGTTGCTAATGAATTAAATAATAACTTTAAGCTTTCTTAGAAGTAATTTTTTTTTTAATTTTATTTATAAATCCAGTAGAGTCGCTAAAAAAAATTTCGGCTTAGAACCCACAAATCTATGCAGATTACAATTAAATTTGCTGCTTGAATGCTCTACTCTTTTGATTGAGACCTTAATTTTGCCGGTGTTTTATTGAAAGTTTTAATTTTTTAAAATTTAAGGGGGTGTATTCAATCAAGAATTTTAAAGAGTTTCAAAAGACTTTTAAAGTGATGGATTTTAAATGAATTTTGTAAACTTTTATAGAATCTTTTAAACTTTCATCAACTTTGTAAGAGTCTTTAAAAATCCATAGAACAAACATTTATAGACTTTTAAAAACTTTTTCATATTAAAAAGTCTACAAAAGTCATTAAAATTCTAAATTGAATACACCCTTACAAACATTTTTTATTGCATCGACCATAAGTTGTAACAGCTCATTACTCTCCTCAGGTGCCCACAATGCATAATTTCCATTAACTTTATTTTTACCTTTAGTCCTTTCTTGATCCCCCATTAGTATAAAATAAATATGAATCTCTCAAAAAATTCAACTTAACACAAATACATATATTAATAATTAATGAACATACAATAACATAAAATTATATTAATTATATAAAACGAATTTGTAAAAATTTGAGTATATTAATTCTATTGGTTGTAACAAAAATTTATAAAAAATTTCTGATGAAAACATCAACAAAATTTAAGCATATTAAAAATCTGCTGCGAACAGCAGCAAGCTGCAGCTGCTGCTGTTTGCAGCAGATTTAAGCAGTTTAAAAAATCTGTTGCGAACAGCAGCTAGCTTGCAGTTCGCAGTATCTTCGCAGCAGCAAAACAAAATTATATAAAATAAATAAATTATAAAGTATAGTTTAATGAAAAGTTTGAAACGTACCGTAAATTTTGGTAGAAATTGATAGAAAAATTTATCTAGGGTCGGATTTCATCTATTTATATTAATGAAGAAAAAGTCCATAGAAATCCTATTATCATAGAGTCTATGAAAGTTGATAAATATTTGAATACCAGTAGACTTTTGCAGACTCTATAAAAGTCTGAAACGAATACCAGTATACTTTTAAAGACTTTTGAAAAGTCTGAATCGAATACCGGTAGACTTTTAAAGAGTCTTTAAAAGTCTAAATTGAATACCCCCAAACTTTGAAAGTAATTAAAAGTCTTTAAAACTCTTTAAAAGTCTGGATTGAATACACCCCCCTTAAGTTCGGAATTTTCCATAACATGCATATCCTATGTCAAAGCTTTTGAGCTTCTGGATGTTCTATTAGGTGGATTTGCAAGTTTTCTGTTTTTTAATTGCTCTTTATTTTCCAGGGTAGGTATATATGTTTGCATTTAAGATTGTGGCTTGATAGGTTCACAGTACATGTAAACATGTAGCCTATTTTTGTGCTAAAGGTTCCCAGTGGTGACAAAATAAAATGAATTAACTGATCTAGTCTAATCATAATGTGTTTGACTGTTTGCTACCATACGCCTAAGTTTTCAATGTATGTCAAATTAGTGTATGTCTTAATTAAAGATTTTGTCAATTCTCACTAAGGAATAATGAATCTAGCAGGTTCTTCCCTCCTCCAAATTGTGCTGTGACTGCTCAAACGAATTCCTAGACATGGAAACTGAGGATATAATCAACCTATCTACTTCTAGTGTTTCTGAAATTGAAGACAATGAAGATTATAATTGCAAACCAAATTTGACTCCTCTGCCTGGAGAAGCCAATTCTATGGATGAGGGTGCAAATGGAGAAATTCCTGAAAATGATGGAAGTGAAGGAGACCAACTATGTATGGCTACAAATGATGGCATGGATTTGGACAATAGTCATTCTACCTTTCAAGATAGTGTTAAATTGACTGAAACTGTTGTTCTAGCAGAGAAAGTGACTTCCTTCAGCTCTGATGTGTGTGGTGAGAATGGCTGTCTAACTGTTCAGGATGCAAGCAATATTGATCACCCCAAGGGTTATCAACAGCATGACAGGAGCTCAAAGATTGATCCAAGTGGTATATTCTTTTTTTCACTTTGTTTTCTAAATACCTTGTTTACAACATGTGAACTTTCTTAATCAATAGCTCCTTTACTTTTTCAAGAGCAGCTTTGCCACTATGCTAATACATGTGCATACTCACACATATCCTTTTAATGTCGCTCTAGTTTTCCTGCTTGCTTATGCTCTTTGGAATCTGCTTATATTTCTCTTTTTTTGCATGTAACCTAGCAGCACTATCTGGTGTCAAAAGACGAAGAACAACTGTCGGAGAGGAGCAACCATCAGTTTGCGTTATTTATAATAATCTAACCAGGTAAGAAGAAAAATGGTCAGATTCTCTTATTTTTCTGCAGGGGGGAATTTTTGGGGGAAAAAACATTCTCTTTCTATCAACCTAGTTTAGTTTGATACCTCTATAAGGTGGAGAGGTACTCTTTGAAGTTTTCATTTCTCAAACTCTGATGAGTTGATAATTTCTTCTTAGAGAGAGTAAATATAAGCTTGAGGAGCTATTGCAGCAATGGTCACAATGGAGTGCTGAACAGAGTCCTTCATTACTTGTGAGTTTAATTCATCTTTAATAGCTACTGTTATTTGTGTCTATTTTCATTTTTCAGCTAAGGTGGAAAAAGACTAAGAGTAATAAAATTTAATAATGGCCTATATTCATTTATACTTAGGATGAAGAAGTGTTAGAATCTGGTGAGGAGACTTACTTTCCTGCTCTTCGTATTGGCCTGGATAAGCCTTTTGCTGTGGTATGTTTTCTATCTCTGCATGCCATAAGTTTTATTTGCAGTACTTATATTAAGACTTGTCAGTTCTTACCTGGATTATGACAGCACTAGTGTGAACTTTTTGTAGATCTGTTATGACAATAGATAATGTTAGTTGCACAGTGCATGGTCCGGGCCTTAATGAACCAAACAAATGATTACTCTTCAACAAAATGATTTCAAACCATTTCTTCTTCTCCTTTTTTATGTTAGTCTTTTTGGATGGATGACCTACAAAGGAAGAAAAAGAATAAGGACTTCACCCCATTTGATGCAAACTCTGTCCCTCTTTATGACCGTGGATTCTCATTTACTTTGAGTTCAACAGATGGTTCAAGTAATTTGGAAGGGTAATTATTGTACTTTATTATATCTTGATGAACTGTGTCTAGAATTGATGATTGTTAAGCTGCTTGATCAACTGATTTGCTCCTGGTTCATCATAGATCAGCATCTTCTGCTACTGTTATGGTGCTTTTATCATGATGTGCCTCACTTAATCACTTTGTGCCTAACCTTATTAATTACTTATTTTGTCTTTTGTATTGCAGAGGATTGCAAGTAGTTAATGCTTCTCGTTGCTTCAATTGTGGTTCCTATAGCCACTCGCTGAAGGATTGCCCAAAGCCCCGTGACAATGCTGCTGTCAATATTGCAAGGAATCAGCACAAATTGAAACGAAATAAAAATGCAGCTAATCCTAGTCGGTATTATCAAAGTTCTCAGAAGGGAAAGTATGATGGTTTAAAGCCTGGTGTTCTTGATCCTGAAACACGAAAACTTTTGGGCCTTGGGGTAAGATCTAGAATTCTCAAAATTAAAGATATTGCTTGTTTTCCTTTGGTTATCAACTATGCATGTTTGGAATTTCTGCCATTATCAGCCCTATCTTTTAGTACTTTATCATTGCAATTCTTTTCTTCGATTCAGGAGCTTGATCAACCTCCATGGCTTCACAGAATGTGGAAAATAGGATATCCACCAAGCTATCTAGGTAATGGTTCATTTCTTAGATGCTTTATCCATACCTCTGTCCTCCTTTCTCTATATTTTGCAACATGTTTTGCATTGGAGGCTACTGTGAACATCTGTCGCCACCACCAGCCTACCACTTTTCTCCATATCATTGTGTCCATTTCCCTCATTTTGGGCCCACAAATTTTCTACGTATCTCAGAACTTGCCGTGATTGCTTAAGAAATATTTCATTCCTCGCATATAACCTTCAACTTTCTGATTTGTCTTAATAACTTTTGTCGTGATAAAATGCTCTTCCTTTCTTAGGTCCAGAAGATGAGGATTTGCCCTCAGGAATCACGATATATGGTGATGATGAAATTAAGGAAGAAACTGAGGGAGGGGAAATTCTTGAGAACTCTGCAGAGCCACCTAAGGCAATAAGCATTGAATTTCCAGATAAGGCAGCAGGGCCCTCAAGTATTACAGCAGATAAGGCAGCAGGGCCCTCAAGTATTACAGCTTCAAGAACTCATTCTTCCAGCAGCAGAAATAAGTCAAATAACCATATGTCAGATACTGTATATAGAGGCCATTATCTTGAGCAGCACAGGTCTAGGGATACTAGTTTTGAATTCGAGGGTCCTACAAGGCAGCGGTTTAGGGGTATTGAAGGTGAAGGCCCACACCGGCATTTTAGTGGTATTGAAGGTGAAGGTCCTCCACACTGGCATTTTAGTGGTATTGAAGGTGAAGGTCCTCCACACCGGCATTTTAGTGGTATTGAAGGTGAAGGTCCTCCACACCGGCATTTTAGTGGTATTGAAGGTGAAGGTCTTCCACATTGGCGGTTTAGGGATTTTGAAGGCAAATGCGCCCCACGCTCACAATTTGAGTTCAACAATGAAAGACCTCCAGCAGGCTACGAACTTGACCCTGCGTTCATCCCATTGTCTTACAGATACCGGGATTATGACTCCATTAGCGGTCCAATGGATGGTTTCAGAAGATCATTGTCAGACAGATTTAGAAGAAGCCCACTAGTAGACAACCATACTTTCTACGACACTTGGTACCCAAGATATTGACAACCATTTCTTTGCAGAGATGGTGAAAGGATCTTTATGGATACATACAAAGTATTCTTTAACACAGTGGCAGACACCAAGGATGTTATACCTCATTCATTGCCACAGGTGAATAAAACAGAGGATTTAAGGGTGTGCTTAAATTAAGCTATTATATGTACCTGTAAGATTCATTATTGTAGCATTGTTGTTGAAGATTTCCTTAGTAATGAGGTGTATGTTGTAACATTTTCCTTGTGTTGATGCCTAATATAATGTTTGACTTCTTTCACATTTTTCCTTTCATTTATTAAGTTTCTTCAAATGGTTTCTTGATGCACAACTCAACTAATAAGTTTTACTTTGTTAACGCTGGCTAGTTCATATTTAAATCCAATTTAGGCTCTGTTTGCCAAGGTTCGAATCAATTGAGGTTACTTTTTTAGCGGCTGATAGTTAGGATTCGAATATAATTAAAATGTAATTTATCTTTTTCTATCAATTTTCAAAATAGGAGTAGTGTTTCAATTTCTTGCACGAACACTTTATACTGAACTCTTTATGCAGGGACGGATCTATAGTGGGAGCAGTCGGCAACTTATCTCATATATAGTCCTGTTTGATAAATCATGCTTTTATGAGTTTATCAAACATATTATACTTATACTTAAACATGTACTATATATACATATTTATGTAAATAAATGGAAAACGAAGGGTTAAAACAGCTTTGGATTCCTCCCTTTGTCTGACGTGGACAACGTGGGGACGCACACGTCATGGTAAAGATGGGGAAGAAAGGGAGAGTAGTGCCTCTCGCCCAATTCAGTACCAAGTACCAACCTGCCTCCGGGAATTGCCAAACCCTAATAGACTCATTTCTGGAAGAGTTTAGTGAAGAAGTCGTGAATTCGTCATTGAAGAGCTCAGTCGACAATGGCAGTGCCGACGGTGAAGTTTCCGATCTTCTTGCTGGTGAGGATTATAGGAATCGTTGTGGCGACGCTGGTTGTAACGTGGACGGTGCGTTACAGGGGAGGATTGGCCCTCATCTCCGATAACAAAGATCTCATTTTCAACGTAATTTCCATTTACCTTTGAATCTGCGTTTTCTTTTCAAAACTCGTTTATATCATCACGTAGCATTGCCCTCTTAGCTGCATATGCATTTGGCCTAGGGTGAAATTGATAGCTTCTTATGTTTATGCGATACTTCTAATCTGTTTATGCCTTTATGGTACTAGAATGAAACTTCTGTAGAATCATTTTTGTATTGTGATTGTGAACATTGATTATCAGGATAAAGGATTGGTAGGGCCATGCTTATGTCTGTTTGTGTCTGTTTCTTCTGCAGGTTCATCCTGTTTTAATGGTTATTAGCCTTGTAATTTTAAATGGTGAAGGTAATATCTACAACTGGGGTTATTTACTAATGTTTTATAAACTAGATGATTCATTAAATTCTTCTTTCTCTATCTGCTAAGCATATATTACTAATTACTCTATATATAGTAAGTGTGTGCAGAACTACAAATATCACAAATCTCTGATTTCATTTAAGATTTTATTAGAATCTTTGGATCCTTCTTGATTCTAAATGATTGCTACTGAAAAACATAAATGGGTCGGACTAACTTGTTTTTGGATTCTGAATTTTAATAACATTTGTCCTTTCTTTCCCAGTAAGGGGAATTACATGCTCACTTAGAACTCCTTGTGTGATGGATTAGGCACACAGATACCTTGAAGAGGCTCCTAAATGAATCTCATTTCATTGTTTCTACTCGTGGAAAATTTTCACTAGTAGGATTTGGAAAGGAGCAATTTATGTTTATAATCAGTGCTATGAGATACATGTTAGATTAACTGTTTTTTTTTTTTTTTAAATTAATTCCTTATTGATGTTTCAATCATTCAAAAATAGTTGACACGCTTCAATTATTAAGAAACTTTCCTTTAGAACAATGTGTATTGGAGTGACCTTACACTCATTTTGTTGGATTTTTTGGTAGGATGTGCACTTATGAAGTTTGTTTAACTGTTTACTGTCTTATTCTAATACTTGGTATTGATTGTTACAGCTATGATGGCTTACAAGACATTACCTGGAACGAAGAACTTCAGAAAATTAGTACACCTTGTTGTGCAATTCCTTGCTTTTTTCTTGGGTGTAATTGGCGTGTGGGCTGCTTTGAAGTTTCACAACGATAAGGGCATTGACAACTTTTACAGCCTGCACTCATGGCTGGGTCTAGCTTGCCTCGTCCTATTTGGTATCCAGGTGCTCTACTTAAATATCTAGATTCTTTCCTTTCTTCCTGATGTTGCCTTCCGTAAACTTATATTTAGTTTTGTCCAAATCACATCTACAGTGGGCCGTCGGGTTTTCAACCTTCTGGTATCCGGGCGGGTCAAGGAACAGCAGAGCTGGTCTACTGCCATGGCATGTCTTCTTTGGCATTTATATATACGCCCTAGCTGTTGCAACCTGCACTACCGGGCTTCTGGAGAAAGTTACATTTCTTCAAACCAATCACATAATATCGCGCTATTCCACCGAGGCATTGCTAGTGAACTCTCTGGGTATGCTGATTGTTGCGTTGGGCGGATTGGTCATTCTCGCTGTTGCTTCTCCGGTGAATGGACACGGTGACATCCTCCGAGAACATTAGAGAACAGAGGCACTGAGGCCCTAGATGTATACCTGACTTAAATGTATTCAAGCATTAAATTGATAAACTCTTTTAATACTGTAGTAACATGAGCCAAGTAAAATAAACTTTTGTCCACCTTATCTATGATGTTTGAGCATTCATGTGAGCATGACTGAGAGGGGGAAGATGGTGGGGTTTTCAGCCGGAAACCATGCAGGAGTATGCCTCCGTCGGCCCACCGAATGGGAAAAGGAGTCACAACACGTGTGGCAGTGGCAGAGCGTAGATTGGTGGTGGGTCTAGCTCACGTGGATTCTGTAACACTGCTGTTTGACTGTGCTCAAAATCCATTTTCTTGGCCCCACCCACACTACGTGTCATTGTCCCATTATACCGCCACTCCTTTACCACCATAATTCCAAGATTTCAAGAAAAACTATCCTGGAATTAGCTGTCACCAAAAACAAATATCTAAAACAAAAATCAAGTATTCAACCACTAAACCTTAGCAATTTCAACCAATTTAATCAGGTTATTGATTTGATAACTTCTTTGCCAGTTAGGTCACAAGGTAAAAATACACAATAATTGATTTATCTCTTTATATTTCTTAAATTTGCCAGATAGGTCACAAGGCTAGAGTATAAATTGTCCCAAGACGAAAATACACGCAGACAATTAATTACTGTGAGTTTTTCTTGTCACTCAAAAAAAACTGTCACTATCCCACCGACTTCCATAAACCAAAACTCTATAGTTACAGAAGTTATGACACCAAGAAATGGGAGCATTCGATACAAACAACCTTTGTTACAGTACAATTAACAGTAGCTAAGAAAACGGGATTGAACCTCGTACTGTTCTAGCATGGAGATTCAAAAGCAAACCACGTTAATACTGTGGGATTTTGACTGGTCCCTGATCGCATATATTCCACGTGCAGAACGCCGGGGCGGTACGTGTTGGGATCCCATGCATAATTGCAGATCAGATCGAGTAGTCACAGTAACCCCCACCCACCACCCATCCTTTCATTGCATGCGATTCAAAGGGCGTCATGGCACAGAAATCTCTCGTCACTCACTACAAACCCTTCTAAAAATCTTGGGAAAAAAAAATTGAATTTTGTGAGGCACAGAAAAATAATGATTAATAATTGTTGGTATCGATGGAGGCTTAATTGGATAATAAATGGAAAAAGGAGGGGACGGAGTGGAGTGTGGGTGATATGATGTTAGTCTGGTGTCCTTTCACTGGGAACAAACCCACATGTCGTCTCCAATACTTTCAAGCCCTCTTTTCACAACTACTACAGTGTAGCTTAGAATAGACAAACACGCCCTTATTCATCGCCATTTTTATCACCTTAATTCAATCCCCATCCATCATCATCATCTTATCATTCATTCATCATCTTCACAACACCAATTAATGCAGCTAGCCTGGCTTCTTCAATGCCTTTGGCTTGCAGGTAAATGGAAAAGGATAAGCATGCCTTGATTTTATTGAAAAAAAGAATATGAACTATGACCCACTTTTGTTTAGATAATGAATCAAAGTGTGACATGTTAGCTAAGTGCACGTTGTAAGTTGATTGAATCTTGCTCCTATATCTTTGTTAGTTAATATATGATGACCGACTTAACTTGGTTCCTATATCCTTGAATCTTGTTCTGCAGTACAATTTAACTGGTTAATCAATTCAAAATAAGATGAGAAGTTTTGTTTTGTTAAGTAGTAGGAGGTATATATCCTGCAATTTACTTATTTTGTCTCATTTTATGTGTCTGGTTCAATTAAGACGCTCGTCTAAAGTTATTTTTAGTTTAATTTTTCATTAAACTAAATTAAAGTACTAGTATTAGTATATAAAATTTATATATATAGAAACTAAATTAAAATACTCTTAACACCCCCCCCCCCCCCCAAAAAAAAATCAAATTTAAAAATAATAAAGAAAATAAGTCAAATAGAAATAGTTGATTTGACCCGTAAATAATAAATATGACATGTAAAATGAGACAGAAGGAATACCGTACCATTTATCTCATTCATCCGTTTTCAGAGCATGAGCGGTGATGGGCTCTCAAGTTTGAGGTTCAAACTTGTATCTTTAATTTGAATCTCCCGGAGGGTGTCACAAGTTTGATACATGCCATAGGTGCTATTAGGCGTAGAGTTATGTAGTTTTGGGGTTTCGGGATATAGGCCCTGTTTGGTAAAATATTTAGTTTATAGGTCAATTATGGTTTATTTGACCACTATTAGTTGTTTGACTTGGTTTAAAAATCAATATAAGTGTTTGATTAAATAGTTTTTTGTACTCCAAAGTGCTAAAATTCAAAAAGCTACTCAAAAACAACTTTTTCAATTAGCTTTTTGAGAAAAAAAAATTATACCAAATGGCTATCAACTAACAACTAATTTACCAAACAATCAGCTAATGTTATCAACTAGTTATACCATCTAATTAACCTAATCAGCTAACAGCCATTTACCAACTAGGGCCCTACAAAAATAAATAAATAAATAAATAAGTGCTACGTTATTAGTAAGGAATAAAATATGAAGTAAAAACTAAGAGTTATGTGTAATATATATCAATTCAGTTAAATATTGTAAATCGACCATATATGAACAAGTCCTTAGTGGAAGTAATTTAGTTTTTTTTTTTTAAATTTATTTTTAATATGAATTATGTTAATAAAGTAACAAGAATTTTAAAAATATACATATCTCTTCATACTAATTTAACTTTAAATAATTCGAAATGTGGTATAATTCAACTAAAAGAAAATCATGGTAAAAAAGATTATTTCACTCAACACCATTTAATCTTGTGTGTCTTCTTATTTTTTTTGAGTACTACCGACTCTGTTACAATCATGGTTGCAGTATGCGCTAGGAGCTAGGCGCTAGTCGGGCGGCCGGGTAGTGCCTAGCGCCGCCTAGGCGCTAGGCGGACACCAAAAAAATTAAAAAAAATAGTAACAGACTTGTAGTTCGACAATTTTAATAAGGTTGTTTTCAACGTTCACTCAAATAACACATCTAAATAAATGAAATAATGATAATTTATAAGTCATAATGTCATAATAATATTAAAATCAATAATTAATGAAAGACGACATCAGTCAAAATCAGTCAAAAAGGGTCAGAATTGGACAAAATCGGTTGACTCGGCCGAGCTGGCCGAGTTTGGCCGCCCAGGCCGCCTAGGTGGCCGGCCGAGTTTTGGCCGCCTTTAGGCCAAAACTCTAAGGCTCGGTGCCGCCTAGCGCCTAGGCGGCTAGGCGGCCGAGTTTTGCAACCTTAGTTACAATGTAATATATCTATTAATAACTATTATATTTTTTCAATCTACTGAAGCACTAAAACTCAATATCAATACAAACTATATATATTATTGATAAAACTTTGCACCATACAAATCTTTTATATGATATGCGTTAAAAGATATATACTCCGTATATCCAATAGTGGTCAAATTCTATTACACCATATTGGATAAATTATTACTTTAAAGTATAGTCTAATTACTTTTTAACAATTTATGCAATAATAATAACACCTTGACCAAACCTTGACTTTTATATAGTACAGTAATTATTGCTCAATCAAAGCTTCAAAAAGTTATATAGTTTCCTTTTATAAGGTAAACACAATAATCTCATTTTGGTTCTCATTTGGGAATATCTTTTTTTTTTTTTTTTTTTTTTTTTTAATTTAAAGTTGTGATTTTTTATATACAAGTAATACTCAATACATAATTAACGAGAAAGTTTATGCTACTGATTAACACCGACGTCACTTGTACTAGGTACAAATCAAATATTTTAAAAAACACTTTAAGTTTATATAAAGTACTGTGAGTATATTGTCTCCACAATACCTGGTACAAATTCAAAAATTTTCCTATTCACGTTAAGGTAATGTATGTTAGGTGCAAGAGGCTCCGATATTGATTGACACTTAAATGTTTTTTTTTTTTTTTAAATAATTTATTAGTTTCTAATGATTTTAATTTATATTTTTGGAAGTTCCAAATTTAAAAATATCACAAGCTAAGTAAAAAAATAATTATATTTGATGATAAAAACAATAAATGAGATAATTGAAGTAAAATTTAGAGAGGCATTTTCTCATTGAACAAAAGGTACGAAAAAAATCATAAAAGTACTAAAAGTACTATGTGAAATCTTCGGTTTCCCCCCTTCTTCTATCCCATAGGTACAATGAATTAATTAATATATCTTCCATTCTCATGAAATCAAGAATAAGACCATTAAAGGTTGAAAGGTTAAATGTGAGATAGCTAGTGACCTAACAAATATCTCGATTCAAATTTTCAATAGAGACGATCTTATTGAAACATATCCGCGGTTTAATTACTTCCTTGGAGGTAAGAGTCCTCAACTTTAGGGTTTAATTAATAAGACCATTAGGAGGCCGCCATGAAATAAAGATGAGAAACCCATAAATAAAATTTTTTAAAAAACATTAGGATAAATCTTCCAATAGATTCTTGAATATAATTTTCTCAAAGTATGCATTCATACCAGCTACATATCCTAATCCAAAAAAAAAAAAAAAAAAAAAAAAGACTAATACATGTGATCACTATATATACATTCAACATTATATTGGTGGGATATGATGACAAAGAGCTGATGAGATTGAGAACTGCATACACCACTATGCAACATACAGCTGCTGGTGCAGGCAGTATGAGAGCTTGAAAGCAGTCTCCAATGGAGTGTGTCTGATATAGAGCAGTTCCATGAACTCTGATCTTACACAAAACATTACCATATACTCCGTATATATATATGGATCTGATCTGTAGGAATTGATAAATGCACTGGTTCCCAGCCAAGATTGATCATGGCCCGGAGTGCATATATCAAATCCAGATGTATATATATAGGTAAGATTTATGCATGGATTTGAAGATGATGATGGGAGAGAGAGATGATGTATCAGTCGCGCCAGCAGAGAAGCATGACCACACATCTTCTCATGATGTAAAGTCTCCCCCTTTGCTCCTTCACAAACCTTCCCAGCCGTCTGTTACTCTTCATCTTCATCTCCATTTCTGTCAAGCTACAAGAATTCAGAAACCTCTAGAGAGAGAGAGAATGTGTATGTGGAATGAAGAAAGATTTAGTGGAGGTGCTGCGTTTGAACGGGAGAGGTGGGCTCTCCTTCTTATAGAGCAGAGGAATCACTGCTGCAGGGGTGGGCCCACTGAAATGACGATATTTCTCTCAGTGTGGGCCCCGCCTGCCACTCACACTTACACATAAATACATACTATCGGACAATCGAGACTATTGATTTTTTTGTCAGTAGTATGAATAGCTCAACTGGTCATTATGTTGTAAAAATTCTACTTATGCGCCGATTAATCAGCGCATACGTCTTCGATCGATTGCCTAATGTATCACTATAATCAGTATTTTAGGTGGCCGGTCGATTAGACCTCTTAAGCGTCGCCTGGGCCGCTTAGGTGCTGACAACATAGGCTTCTTAGGTGTCGACCTGTCTTAGACACCGACTAGACCGCTTAGTGCGCCGATTAGCTATTTTGTCAATTATACTGACCATAAAAGTAAAATTTGTTACAAGATACCAGTGATCGATCTCTCAAAATGATGGAGACTTTTTGTGCTTGCCGTAAACATATTTCACCTTTTGTCTCAAATAGTTAAATATATAAATTTTCTTAATTTGAACTTGTTTATCGTTACAATTTTTTTAGAATCTTGGGTGAGTGTCAATAGTTCCGGCTGTCCACACCTCCCGGCTTATCCACACGTGCCACGTCACCACCCCCTTGGGGGCCGACGCGGTGGGAATCATCATCGGCGACGAGTTGTCGGCCATTGGAGATAGGGAGCATGAACCGCCCAGTTTCCAGGGAAAGTACGAACGTCCGGTCTTTTCAGTCGCCTGCCCAATCTCATCATATATTCGATCATTATATTCTTACTTTTTTCAATCTATCTCTAACAGTACACCACAGTACAGTACCAAACAGACAAAGATTAAGATTACATTATATTAACGTTAAAAAACCAGATAAAATGTTAGTGTTAATGCCGATGAAATTAAGCTTTAATTTAAGGTTGAAGAAGTCAAGAAAAAATGCAGATAATTAATGCGAATCTGAGGGAGAGTGGAGGGAGGAGACCAGCAACAGACACCACAATCTGGACGCCATTAAAATAAGAAGCTTGAAGCTCGTATAAAGTGTAAATAAATAAAGTATGACAGCCTTAATCCCAACACAGGACTATAATTTAATCTGGACGTATATGTTTAACCAAAACCAAAACATTATGGCACTTATCAACATGTTTGTGTCTCGTGTTTTCCCCGGCCTCCACTCCACTCCTTAATTTAGTGTTGGGTGCCTTTTGTCTCACTTTTGGGTCGTAGGAATTGGCGTTGTTTGTTTCCTCATGCAGGATTATTTTACTGCCACTGTCACTCTCAAAGTTGCCGCCTTTCTTTACCAAGAAACCTAAACTCCACAGCTTTACCATTCATGGATTGAAAATCTGTTTGGTAATGGCAGGCACAAAATGGACCCCCGGCCCTTTTTATGCCACTCAAACCAATTCAAATTGGAAGAAACTTAAAGCTACACCATTTTTTTCAATACCATTGATTATTCTTTTTTTTTTTTTTATATAGGAAAATCGATCACAAACACTACTTAGACTGTACACTAGGTAAATCTTGCTTGCCTGCAAATTGCATGACTATATGAGAGGACACCATGCACAACCTCTAGCCAATTGAACAATGTAGGCGGGAATGAAGCCATCCGTCAAATTAAAATGGATTCGTAACTTTGAGATCGAAAAGGATTGACTCTGAAGACTGGGCGAGGGGTCCCAGTTCCAAACCCATCAACTTTTCGACAGATTTACCCTACAAATGAAAAGTACTCAAAATTTTCAACCATGTATCAAAGATGCATTATTTTTAGCAAACTTTGATGGATAGATAGAACGTTCATTGGCTATTGAAAATCTCAGCCTAAAGATGTAGTATTTGCAGCCAATTTTGATGGGTATTAGAAAGTCTATCGTAGTTGAAAATTCCTAATCTTTCAACCATATATGCCTTACTTTGAGACCTAACTTTTTCAACTTAATTAAACCATAGATTCTTTCAATACTTATTATTACTTCATTCACGATGCTCTGAACATAAAATCTTATTCACTGGAATCAAATATTTTTAACTTAAATCACAAATTCTTGATAAAATTATACTACTTTTAATCTTAACATCCTTTTAAATGTTCTGTCGAGTCAAGTATGAGAAACTCTAATACGTCCAATTAAAACAGGTGAGTCCCATTAATTACAGCAGAGGCAGGCATTGAATTGTGAGAGTGTGGGGGTGCCAGGCTGGCAGGCAACTGAGATATGAGCAATGGAAATGTGGAATTGATATTTTGGCTTTGATGGCAGTAATGGGAGTGTTTATTAGGATTTAATTAAAGATAATGTTATGTGGGTCCCGGTTTTCATAATTAGTACGGACGAAGTATATAATTCATGAAAGAGAAAGGAGAAAATATAAGAGCCTAGAGAGCCTTGGGGCCGCCATTGCCCGCAGAGATCCATTCAATAATTATATTATTTGCTCTAATTCTGCATGGGGAATTTTGAGGATGGAGGCCAATGTTTTGTGCAATTGAAAGAAAATATCCAACTTTTTTAAAAATTAATTTATGTTCATACTTGTTAATATTTTTAATTTGAATTCAACTCTGATTAACCTATAATTTTATAGCTACATTTGCAATTCGCTTACTAATGAACAGCATTGCTAAGACTTTGTGGTCCAATGTCATGAAGTGACTCTCCCAAATAGAATGTTATGTATTCGAGCTTCAGTGTGGGCAACTCTTTATATTTTCGTAAGTTGAGAAAGTACTTATGAACATATACTACATTGTAACAGAGCTAGTAGTATTTGAAAAAAAAAAAAAAAAAAGGGGCATCCATAACTAATAACGTGTGACATTTGGATATTAATTGGAAGATGACCTTATTAAAAGTGGTTGTGGGAAGATGAAGCAAGACTGAAAGGCACGGTTCGACGGTACAAGAAGGACCGGGTAGCACGTGAGTCATGTGACGAGGATGATAACATTGGGTGTTGATAAGACCAGCTGTCTGAGGAAACTTCTCATTGAATTGATATGATAAGTCTTCCATTCCAAAACGTAAAATCTTCATAGTAAGAATCAAATAGGAGACACCAAATCTTTGTTTGGATTCAAACTAGGGATTCCAAACTCCGGGTCGCTCCGAAATGCACAATCCAATGAATCTGCGAGTTTGAGAGTGTTGACGAATGAGGTTTAGGTGTAGGGTTATCTGGAATGGTGGTTGCTACATTAAGTCTGCCTTGGAGTAGATAACGAAGTGCCTCAAGTTCAATTCATCTAAGGATTAGTCGTTGATTTGATTCGTCACCATTAAGAGATCATTGCTATTATTGTGGTTAGCATGATGATAATTTATAATAATAATAATTTGTGAATACAAGATTGAAGATTCTATCTAATCATACATTTGACATTTATGACCAATGTAACACTTTTGAACGAAGTGTTCATTAATGAAAGCTTCTTGACAAACTCTCATGTGGGTTTATTATTAAATTAATTAGTTGGGTTAGTTCTTGTACGTTTCATACTTTTATGATTATAAGTCTTAAGTGTAGATAATTATATATTTACGAATTGAGTTTACTGGACTTTTAACGTAAATTAGGAACATTTAGGTTTTAACTTCAAAGAGCAGATGAGCAACTCTTACAAAAAGTATAGATTCAGTATGGTAGAAGCGGTAGGAGTGTGATAGGGCATGAAAGACATCCCCCAAGGTTTACAAGGGATAATTGGGACGAGTGTTGGGGAATTGGGGTTAATTTGCAAAACGTTGTGCCGATTAGGGCATGGTTGGCAGGAGTGTGACGGCGTAAGCAATTCTTTGACTTCCTCGAGCTTTAACAAACTTTTAATTTGTACAATAAAACATGTCTAATAATTAATTTGTGGTGGTAAGTTGTCCATTTATTTTTTATGAAATATAAAATTTTTACACCTATAAATAATAGGGTTATACTCATTTAGACATCAACATTTTCTTTTAATAGAGCTTCTCATTTAGACATGCATCAACATTTTCTTTTAATAGAGCTTCAATTCTTGTGTCTTCTCATCCGTATTTCCCATGTCTAAAGACAAGCTACTCTGGAAAGATGAAGATGTTTGGGTAGTACCTTGGATTAGTCAATTCAACCAGGCTAATATCTTGGGCTTAGTTTAGTCCAAATTAGTTATTTATTTGTAACCCAAAAATGATCATTTACTGTCCAATTGTCCGTTGTACTATTTAATTTATTTCAATTATATTATTTGTTTGTTATCAAAATCACAATTAATACCAATTTTATAATGGGTCTAGTCTAGTACAATAAAAGCATTGTAGCAACTAGCAATAACATTAATTTGATAGTCGACACCCATCATTATTCTCACTTGTCATTTCCATTTTCATTACTTGGCTATAGAGACTCCAAATGTCAACCTATTAGAAAAGACATGTTTATCACAGAGGAGGACTTTGGGTTTCTTTCCACAAATTATAACAAAGTTTATTTTTAACTAACTAACTGCTGATTGGAGCACAAGTATTATGCTCTCATCCCTTTGTTCCCAAGATTACCAATCGTTATACCGTGGAGGGTCTACACTGCACTTTAGATCCTAGTCCTAAACAATGTAGTTTAAAATTTTATTTTTGACGGTGACTATTTGTTGTTTAATTCATGTTACAAATTTTATTTTATTTTATTATTATAAACCATGTGTATGTGTCTTGCGTTATGCGTTTTCGTGTCTCATGTTATGCAGTTCTGTACCTTAAGCGTATGTATTCTGCACCTGAAACAAAGTAAATATAACATGCGCTTTTGTGTCTTCTGATCTGCTATGCATTTTGTGTCTTGTGTTATGCGTTTTTGTATCTTATGTTATGCAATTTTGTACCTTAAGAATATTGATTTTGTACTTGAACTAAAGTAAATATAAAACATATTTATATGTCTTGTGTGCATATGTCTCATGTTATGTAATTCTGTACCTTAAGCTTATAGATTATGTACCTGAAATAAACTAATAGTTGTGTAACACACAATATATTGTGTGTCTTATTTTACGAATTTATGTTTTGTATTATGAAATTATGTATCTATAAGATATATACTATCTACATAAATCAAATTTGAGAATAAGTAAATATATAACATGTGTATGTGTCTTATGTTTTGAGTTTTTGTATCTCGTGTTATGAAATTCTGTACCTTAGAGCATTGATTCTATACCTAGAATAAATTAAAATTTGTGTTGAAACATGAAAAATGAAAAATACAAAATATATTAAAACTTAAATATCAAAACGACGTTATTTTAATTCAGGATTCATAATGCTATGTGGAGCCTGGTCCACGCTATAAATTGTTCAAGATGACCAGCATTGCCGGATGACGAAGAAATCACAAGTCTTAGGGGAGCGTTATGCCATGGAACCGTGTTCACCATTCATGGTGAACACGGTTCCAATGGTGTTAGTACACCATTATCTTTTTTTTTTTTTCTTAATTAATTGCGTGACTTTTCTTCTTCATTTTCACATTTTGCGGTTTCACTTTAATTTGAGGTGAACAATGATTTCGGACATTCATAAATTATGAATTCATGCCTGCACATTCGCTTTGGAACCATGCCTACACATTCCCGTCCGAAATCACGGACATTCATAAATTATGAATCCATGCCTGCATATTCACTTTGGAACCATGCCTACACATTCACTTTGGAACCATGAGATTATGAATTTCCTGTTATGAGATTATGAATTTTCTGTTATGCGATTATGAATTTTCTGTTATGAGATTATGAATTTTATGAAAATTCATAATCTCATAACAGAAAATTCATAATTTGATCAACGCGCGCCATTAACTCCACATCCGCGAATATTTTTTTTGGCCTAAAAACGACGTCGTTTGGCCTTGTGTTCACCATTCTCGCCATTAACTCCACATCCGCGAATTTTTTTTTTGGCCTAAAAAACGACGTCGTTTGGCCTTGTGTTCACCATTCTCGGTGAACACGTTTCCAGGACATAACTCAATCGTTATATCCTACACCACGGCGCACATAGCACTGTGCGCCGCGCGCCTCCCAAAACGACGTCGTTTTGGGGTAGTGTTGGGAGGCACGGTAGGAAGTTGCTGAGATTATGTGTATTTGTTCACAACGTTATGTGTATTTGTTCACAACGTTATGCGTATTGGTTCATACAGTTATGTGTATTTTTTATACAATTATGTACATTCTTTTTATACAATTATGTACATCCGAATCAGAAAATTTGTGTGTATTATGTTAAGAGTTGATGTGTATTATGTTAAAAGTTTATGTTTATTATGTATTATGTTAGATTATGTGTATTATCTTTTAAAAAGAGTATGTATATTTTGTTATATAATTATGTACATTCATGTATAACATTATGTGTATTCTAGTATAACATTATGTACATTCTTGAACAACGAGTTTTTTTTTTTAAGAAAAAACTACTGTCATTCACTGGGGCGGGAAATTTCAAAAAAAATAATAATTAAAACGACGTCGTTTTGCATCTGGGTGCATAGTGCAACGCGCGCCGTGGTGTAGGATATAAATTGCCGACATAATTTGCCAGTCTTAGGTGATTGGACTGAAAAAAGTTGAAGCCTGCACTGCTGGGCCGTCCAGTGTAATGGGCCGACTCTATTTGTTTTGGGTTATACCCACTAATGGTCTAGAAATTAGATATCGAGATGAGAATTTAAAAAAAGACCAAAAATCGCCGTTGCCGGGGATCGAACCCGGGTCACCCGCGTGACAGGCGGGAATACTCACCACTATACTACAACGACTTCTTGTTCTTTTTTTTTTTTTCACTAAGCTAATCAGCGGGATTTTCCTCGTTGAAATGTCAACGATCACGGCGGCTGTAGGCCTGTAACTGTTCGTTTGCCCATCGTGGAAACTCCCTCGTTGACTTCGTCTTTCACCTCCACTCGTCTTAGCTCCCTCCAATCTCAACCTTCTGGAGGATAGAGCATAGTCATCAGCACTGATCTATTCAGAATTTCCAGTTTTACTTGATCTCTAAATCCCCAGATTCATCGTACTCAGATTCTTGAAGAAATGGGCAACCACTTCTGCAAACCAAGAGACCAAAACACTCATTTTCCGGCGACTTCTACGCCGTCATCGGCAACCATCTCCTCCGGTTTCGACATCTCCACCGAGTTGAGTTCCTACCTGATGGCCTGCCAGAAAGATCCGGGCTTCCGAGCCTTCGATTCCACGCTCCAAGACCGCGCCACCAGAGCCATAAACTCCGTCGCCGGCAACCTCGACCACCGGGCGCTCTCCGTCGAATCCCTCCGGGATGTCACCGTCTGCTTTCTCGATATGAACCATGAAGTCGTCAACTTCATACTGGAAAGCAAACGGGATATCTGGAAAGACCCGGACCTGTTCGATCTGGTCAAGGAGTTTCTCGACAACAGCCGCCACACCATGAGCTTCTGCACCGCCCTCGAGGGCTGCCTCCACCGCGTCCAAACCAGCCAGTCCATTCTCAAGTTCGCCTTGCAGAAATTCGAGGAAGAAACCGCCCAGATCCAAGGCTCCGACCCGACCCATCTCTACTCCCAGACGCTCCAGCAGCTCCAGATGTTCAAGGACGCCGGTGACCCTTTCACCGAGAAATTCTTTTCTTTGTTCCATGTAATGTATACGAAGCAAGAATCCATGTTGAACAAACTGCGAGAGAAAAAGAGGAAGCTTGATAAGAAACTGCGGAGAAGGAAGTCATGGCGGAGAATCTCGAGCGCGATTTTCGCTACTGTCTTTGTCTCGGCCATCGTTTGCTCCATTGTCGCCGCCGCCGTGACGGCGCCGCCGGTTGTGACGGCGTTGGCGGCGGCCGCGGCAGTGCCGCTCGGGACGGTGGGCAAATGGATCAACAATTTGTGGAGGAAGTACGAGAATGAGCTTAAGAAGGAGAGGGATATACTGAACACAGTGGGGGCTTGGACTACATTTATGATCAAAGACTTGGATGATATTCAAGCTTTGGTGGATAAATTCAAGATTTTGATTGAGGGATTGTTGAGCACTGCAGATTTTGCCATGCTGCAAAGTGAAGCAGTGGAGATTGCAATGGAGGACATCAAGAAGAATGTGAATTCCTTCATGGAAACAGTTGAGATCTTGAATGTGCATGCAGATAATTGCAGGCAGCATATAAGAATGGCAAGGACTGTTATATTGAGAAAGATCAATAATCAAGCTAGCTCAAGTAGTTCAGGGAATGGTATTCTCTTCGACTGAATCAGCCTAAGTTATTCATAGCTGTTCCGCCTGTTCGGTTCAAACCAAGAAAGTTAAAAGAACAGTTGAACTTGTTACTTTTTGGTTACCCTGCGAACAGTTAGACCAACTTGGTTGGATTGCCGCCACTGAATTTGCCATTTGTGGTGCCAATAGTGTTGTTGATTCTTTTTGTTCTTTGTAAAGATTAGCCATGATTGGGTCTATAATTTTATATGGACTCCTTGATATATATAGATATTACTCTCAATAAACTATACTGTTATGCTCATTTCTGGTGGTTTCATGTTTATGCAATTGTTCAATAGCATTTGAAGTAGTGTAGTTACTTGGAACAGATTGAGATGTCAAATGCCATGGATGAAGGATGCATAATATAATGTAGATGTATGAATATTCAATAGCACCTAGAAGGACTTTGTTTCTCCATGTATGAAATGTGAGCTTTGATCGAGAGCTCAATAATTGCAGATTTCCACTGCAAGGAACTAGAAAGTAAATTGCGAAATATATCTTAACTTTTTTATTTTCAAGATGTTTGTACACTGATGCTCATATTGGGATCAATTCGGGCTTGCCTTTCTTCCTCCTACTCTGTGGAGTATATGTTCATCATAATTGTGGGAAAAGATGGCTTCCTTCTCCACAGACAATTGGTATAAGGTTTGGTAAGTCTTTGATGGCATTTGTCAATAAAGAATGGTGTATTATATAAATAGTACAGGGCAGTTGCATGTTTGAATTCAAACAGCAATATTATATTTGGCTTGGGATTCAAGTAAGCATGCATCACCAAAATTTGCATATACTTATAAAGAAACCACATTTGAGTTGTTGGCTCTAACACTTATTTCATATCAACTAAATGCTTAACAATAAACTCTTTAAAATAGAAGGATTTTAGACTGCACACTTAAATTTTCTAGAACAAGAAGTGACCAAAGAGTTGACCTCAACATATTAAATTTGATAACAAATTTAGAACTCTTATCGCCCCTTTAAAAGAAGTTGAATCCTGAACCCCAAGGACCCTCCACCTGACCTGATTAGGAGGGTGCAATTTTTCACCAACGAAAATACAAGCCTCGCGGGCTTGATCCGCGTGGGTTGGAAGACTTGACCCGCATGGATTGGAAGGCTAGCCCACGGGATTTTCATATTATATATATATATATATATATATATAACATTAAAGTCTCAAAAAATGTAAATTTTTAAATTTTAAACACAAAAAAAAAAAATTAAATGGTTAAATTATTTTAATATAGAATAATAATATAACACTTTTTTTTTGTTTTAAAAAATAAATAAATATATAAATATATATATATATATATATATATATATATATATATATATATAACACTTGTTTATTTAAAGTTAGGCCTGCGGGCTAATCTATGAGGCATGTGAGTCCACATGAGATGGATTAAGGTTTTATAATCCGATTCCACGGGCTTCGCGGGCCAACCCTCAAAGGCCTATAAAAAATATTCGCAATGGGATAGATCAGCCCGCATTGATACCAATCAATAGTTATTCTGTGCAACCGAATGTATCATGTATAGTGTATACGATACAAAACGACGTCGTTTTGACTAAAAACGCGCATCCCACTTAAAAAAAAATTCAAGTTCGATTCTCGACAATAGCATTATTGTGGACAATGTTGCAAAAAACGTTAGGCGCCCCCTAGGCGGCAATGGGTCGCCTAGCGCCTAGGCGCTGATTTTTTTTTTTTTAAATAATTAAAAATAAAATTAAAAATTAAAAATTTTTAAAATTTAGTAATAAAACATAAGGTTTCCATAGTTATTTCTTAGAAACTATTTACGAAAGTGGTTGTAAAAGTGTTCAAAAGATTGTTTAAACCATCTAAATACATAAAAAAACTAAAATTAAGAGCTAAAGAAGCAATTTTTTTTTGAGAAATTAGTGGACCAAACCGCCTTCGGCTGTTTGCGGTGGATAAATCTCGAAAAAATACGCGATTTGAAAAAAAAAATTGTCCAAAACGGACAACCGAGTCAAAAGTTATGCTTTCTCGAACTTTTCACAATTTAAAACGCAATATATATATATATATATATATATATATATATATATATATATATATATATATATATATATATATATATATATATTAAACCGCCGGTTCAGCCGGCTAGGCGAGCGCCTAGCCGGCCGGCCGCGGAGGAGTCCGATTCTGGCCTTCTTTGCGGCGGTTGCCAGGCGCCTAGGCGCGATTTTTGCAACCATGATTGTGGATTATGAATTTCTAGATATTTAGTTCATTCATTGTGGATATTTAGTTCAATCATTGTGGATATTTAGTTCATTCATTGTAGATATTTACTTCATTCATTCACTGTGGATATATAGTTATGAATTTATGAATATATAGTTATGAATTTCTGGATATATAGTTATGAATTTATGGATATTTAGTTCATTCACTGTGGATATATAGTTATGAATTTATGAATATATAGTTATGAATTTCTGGATATATAGTTATGAATTTGTAGATATTTAGTTCATTCATTGTGGATTTTTACTACATTCATTCACTGTGGATATATAGTTATGAATTTATAGATATATAGTTATGAATTTATGGATATATAAAAATGCTATTGCCGAGAATCGAACCTGATTTCTTTTTTAAGTGGGACGCGCGTTTTTTAACCAAAACGACGTCGTTTTTGCATCCGTATGCACCATGCATGGTGCATACGGATGCACAACATAATTTGCGGATACCAATCGTTATGCTATGTAACTGTGTGCACCATACATGGTGCACACGGTTGCAAAACGACGTCATTTCATTTATAATAAAAATAATTCATTCGGATTGTCGTTAACGGCGTTAGGCGGTTTCCTTTCGTATTCAAACAGTAGAATATATTCATAATTTCATAACTATATATCCACAATTTCATAACTATATATCCAGAATTACATAATTATATGTCCAGAATTACATAACTATGACAATAGTACATTCAGAAATAATAACTACACATTGATAATTTCATATCCATATATTCATAATTTCACAACTAGACATTCATAATTACATAACTCCATATTCAGAATTTTTAAAGTGTTTGTTCACAGAGAACCATATCCATAATTGCATAACTACACATTCATAATTTCAAAACTATATATCCATAACTTCATAACTATATATCCATAACTTCATAACTATATATTCAGACTTGCATAACTATGTATTCATAATTACACATTGATTTGAGTTTTTTTGTAAAAAAATAAAAAATAAAAAATTATTTGATTGGTAGAGTTAAACGGTATCATTAATGACACCATTACTATATCATGATAAACGGTGTTGTTTTGCAACCGTGTGTACCATACATGATACACCATAATTTGCGCATTGATACCCCTAGCTACTTGCCTGCCATTTGGGCCCAGCAAACTAGCCCAAAGAAAACAAAACAAAAAGGCTAAAACAAATCTCTGGAAAATGCTCTGCGATATTGGGCTAATTTTAACATGATATTGTACTGTACTCCAAAAAATTAATACACGACGTTGGATTATTATATATGCATATATTATATTCCATTGCTTTCACGTCGAACTTTGGATGAAAATGAACATACATATCATCTCATTCCTGCACGCATTTCCAGAATGCTCTAGAATAAATCCAGAAGTTGGAACTAAGCTTTATCATCATCAAATCACCACCATTCAACTTCCATTCCCAACTTTTTTATGAATAAATGCATGCATGCATGCATGCAACTATGCAAGGACCATAATATAAACTTTACGTAAATATGATCCGCAAACGTCTTCCTAACAAGAATATATGCCTAGAAAATTAATGATTCAGATTTTTCATAAAACGTACAACACTAGTACTAGACATTACTGGCTACAATTCTCTTATATATCTGTTTGATTGCTTCCCATCTTCTTCTATCTATCTGGATTGGCTATGGCGGCTATCGTCCTAGATTTGTAACTAATGGCGCTCGTCACCCCCGTATCGCTTCTTTAGATGCTCTTTGTTCCCAACAACACTATGTGAGGTAGATGGATTACGATTGGTTGAAATTTAATATAAAATGATAGATGTGTATTTTAAGAAATTATGGTAGCGAACATGTAAGTCTAATAATTGAATTGGTTGCAGCGTTGTACTAAGTAATAACATTACTAGTGTCAATAGTACTCGATTATAATAGTTCACTATGGTGAACAAGCAACCTTGTACTAGGTATTGGCATCACTAGTACGTATTGACTGTACTTAACATATAATGGACTATATATGGCTTTGATCTGTTTGGTAAAATAGTTAGTCTATCCGTTAAATTTGGTTTGTTTGACCATTATTAGTTGTTGGACTTGGTTAAACAACCAATATAAGTGTTTGGTTAATTAGATTTTTGTAAAGATTTATTGCTCTAAAATGCTAAAATTCAAAAAGATGCTCAAAACAACTTTTTCAGTTAGCTTTTTGAAAAATTCATTTTGCATATAATAATCAGCAATCAACTAATAGCTAATTTACCAAATATCTTTCTACAATTAGCCAATACTACCGACTAATCAAACACACTAACTTAATCTACTAACAACTATCGGCCGACAACTATTTACCAAACAACCCCTAATATATTTTTGTACTAAGTACAATAGGTACATGCCCTGTTTGGTAAATGGCTGTTAGCTGATAATTTTTAGCAGTTAGCTAATTTGGTTAATTAGAAGGTATAACTAGTTGATAACATTAGCTGATTGTAGAAAGGTGTTTGGTAAATTAGCTGTTAGCTGATAGCTATTTGGTATAATTTTCTTTCTCAAAAAGCTAATTGAAAAAGTTACTTTAAGCAGTTTTTTGAATTTTAGCATTTTGGAGTTACAAAAAACTAATTAACCAAACACTTATATGATTTTTTAACCAAATCAAAAAATTAATAATGATCAAATAAGTCAAAATTGACCTATAGGCTATTAAGGCTAATTATTTTACCAAACAGGGCCACAATATTTTTTGTTGATCGATATTTTAGGGACGTGTGTGTGTGTGTGTTTTTTTTTTTTTTTTTTTTTTTTTTTTTTTTTTTTTTTTTGGTGTGGATTTAAACTTTCTATTGAACGTACGCAATTGAACAGGTACAAAATATATTCTAAATCCTTATCATACATATCATGAAGCATATATATCATCTTGTAGCTACTAGGTGGGAATTATATCATCAGATCTATATATGTGGCTGTGCGTATGTATATATACATTCTTAATTTAATTTGATTGACATGCACATTATAACATTGTATTCTACTTTTTATTTTCTCTATCTACTTAGATCTCTCTAATTAATATATATATATATATATATATATATATATATATAATCAGATCAAATGAGAACTAATAGTTACATAATAACGTGTGGAGTAATCTAATCCACTCATATAGAAGGGTCAAATTAAGTTAATTAGAAATTAATGAAAAATGAAAAAAAAATACAGTTACATTTCTGTAATTACGACGGTGCATTTGAAAACATTTGATAGTGTATATGTAAACAATAAATAGTGCACATGCATAAGTGCATGCACTATTATAGACTCTAAATGTATTGTCGCTTACCTACAGATACATTATCCAGCGTTAACACACACATATATGTGTGTGTGTATGTATGTATATATGTATATATACTCCGTATGTATATGATATGACGGTAGAGAATATATAGGGGTTATGAAATATTTTATATATATAGTGGCAAGTTGGCTGGCAATATATATGGCAATATTTGAAACGTATGAAAGGTCAAAATTATATGTGGCTCTGACTTCAATTCCAAGAATGAGAATCCAATCCGACCTGCCCTCTGATGATCCGCTCTTAAATAATATAATAATTAAGCAAAAGGATGAAGATGTTGCTCAATAATGCTCATCCGATCCATATATATCTTCCATCTTTTTTTTCTTTTTTTTTGGGGGGGGGGGGGGGGGGGTGTTGGGGGGAGGGGGGGGGGGGGTGAAAATATATATCATCTTCATATTGTGTACATTGCACGCTTACTTTCTATCCATTCCTTCTACGGCGTGCTGATTATATTCTTCACGAATCTTCCATCTCAATTATACTAGTTATAATTTTGTGCCAATATGCCTGAATTTATATATGCCCAATAATAATTTAATATGCTTGCTTTTATTTGTCACAAACTCAACACAAATTGAAATTTTACGTCATCTTTATCGTGGACCGGATTTATATATAATGACTTCTCCAATCAAATAATATAATCAACTATATACTCCTGCTCCAAATCTAGTCCATAGTCATCGATCTCGGGCTCATATATAATATTCACATCATATTGGCCGGATTAAAAAGAAATTTTAATTTGTTTAACACTTAAATATTTCTATTTTTTAAAATTAAGATTATCTTAGACAAAAGCATTAGATGTATTGCTATCTTTTTGCGTAAAATTTAATCCCAATCGTACTGTTTATGATAATAATTATTGCATTAATTAATTCTATGTTTAATTATAATTATATTAATATCAATATTTTAATATAATATTTTCAAATTCTCATTGATTATTTAAATCTATAATACAATACCTATAATCTGATCTGTATACTCACCGCTTCAAATGAAAATAATATCTGAATCATAATTAGTATATATAAATATATAATATTAATTACTTCAATCGAAACATTATTTGCATAAATAATATAAATAGGTAATCAAGTTGGTGAAATATAATTCACCTACTTAAAGATCACGAATCTAATTTTTACCAATACCCTCTAACGTTTGATCGACATTATTACAATTTGATTATAATTATTACCATTATAGCATGTAATGCTTGCACGCAACTACGGCTAGCCATTTTGTAATCCTTAAATTTTTAAAATATAGTTTTAATTTTTATTTTTAAAGCCAAATATAGTATTGTAGTAATATGATATGATATCTAAAAAAATAATGTTATTGGCTTCCCTAGCCAATACCCGAAACAAGTGAAATGACGAAAAACCCCTGCCCCACTATTCAATGAACGCGCAGTCGAGTTTCCTCGTCCCTCTCGGCCTCGTATATGCGAGTATGAAATATGTGGCGACACGTTTGCGTTTAGGCTATGAACATTCCACATTTAATGCCTATCCTCAATTCCACTTCCAATTCTAGTAATATCATACGTCATGAAATTTTATCTTCTACGCTGCGCACTTTTACTAAACTTGGCTCTCCTCTACCCCCCATGTACCAACCAAGTGTTCAAATTTGGAATTGTAGCCGTCCATTCTAAGCGATCAACGGTGGATGATTGGTCATGAAATGGAGCCCGTATACGTGGAAGTATTCGGACGCAGCCGGGCTATATATATATACACGGCGGTGCAGATTGTTTTACACCATTGATATTATTCGCCATTATTGAAGATAGTCGTCAAAGGCGTGAGCTTTTTGTTTCTTCCATTAATGGAGTTCAAGAAGAATTTGGCTCGGAGGTTTCTAAGGGGATGCAGAATTGCTAACCCTTCTTTGAGGGATTGCCGGATTTCTACGTCCCGGGTGGCCGTGAAGACCCGGATCCCACCGGGGCCGGAGAGAATCTCCCATGATGCGGCGTTAGATGACGGCGTCTTCCGCCGCTTCATGCACCGCCCCCCGGCGTCGTATGGATCCGTGGGGTTACCGGCGGCGGCGGCGTCGTTCCCCGCCGGAGAGAAGCTTCTGGAGAAACTGCGGGGGAGGGATGTTTCACGGGATAGGATCAGGCTGGAGGGTCTCATCCCTCCGCCGGTGAAACGGCCGGAAACGGAGCCGGAGTGTAACATGACGGCGGTTCAGGCGAGGAAGCTCCTCCGGTTGTCGCAGCTTGAAAGGGTGAAAATGACGCTCCGGGGAATCGAAAAGAATCACATTTCCTACTCGGAGTTCATCGGGATTTGCGGCGATGGCTGTTCCGACTCCGATCAAGGCCGGGAATTCGCGAAAACGTTGGACGATTCCGGCGCCGTCATCGTCCTGGGGAACGTGGTTTTCCTCAAACCTCAACAGGTTGGTTACCAATTTTGATTATATTTTTTGTTATTTAATTTCCGCCACCATTCATAGAGTTAATTAACCCAACAAGCTAAGACCGTACGACATTATTGATGATCCGTACTTCAATTCATACTAGATTTGATATGATACGATGATGTTTCTTAGCCATTTCGTTTTCCAGAATCCTGAGACTACCGAGAACTGATAGTTTTCATGTATTGTGTGTTTTTTTTTGGATGTTTTCTTGGACAGGAAAGTGAACCGTCAGATCTATAAACGAGATGGCTATTTATTTGGGAGTGGATCATATTCATATCACTTGGATTATTGTTTTCCAAACCTTTCTTTCAAATACCCTCTCCGGCCATCTCTAAATTATATTAATTATAAACACATATATTCCAAAATTAAATTTTGCCACCTCATTAATTCTCTGCACCCAAAATGGTACATCCACCTACTTGATGTGGCTTAGAATTTTGGCTACACTAATGGAGAAAAAAAATTTAATGATTTTTAATTTGACTCAAAATCTTTATAAAAGTAAAGAACCATACAGTCACTATGGTCTGTATTGGATAAATTCCATACAAGTTTGGTCTGTATTGGATAAATTCCATACAAGTTTAAGTTGTTTATAGCTTACCAGCTTAAATTAAGAATGTTAATAGGTTGTTCTTGTTAAGAGTCGAACTTTTAACATTTTCGTAACTAAGTCAATATAAACACTTGTTTTTATATATCCAAACGCTTGGTTTTTTTGTGTGTGTATATACAGGTTATAAGAGCCATTGAAGGTCTAATACCAAGGCCCAAAGCCCAGCCCGATGAATCAAGAATGAAGGAGTTGGAGGACATGGAGACCCAAATGGCAGCAATAGAGAAGAGAGCAGAATCCATGGCGAGGAGAGAGCTATGGGTCGGGCTGGGGTACCTGGTGGCTCAGACAGCGGTGTTGATGAGGTTGACATTCTGGGAGCTAACGTGGGACGTGATGGAGCCCATTTGTTTCTACATTACATCAATCTACGCCATGGCTGCCTATGGGTTCTTCTTAAGAACATCGAAAGAGCCGTCTTTTGAAGGGTTCTTTCAAACCAGGGTTGACGCCAAGAAGAGAGGGTTGATTAGGGTTCACAGTTTCGATGTTGAGAGGTATAATCAGCTCAAAAAGAGTTGTAATCCTTACTCCCTCATGAGTGTTTCGGAGAATCCCATGTCTTCTGCTTCATAGTTGTATATATATGTCTTCTGCTTCATAGTTGTATGGATATGGTGGGAGAACTTACAAAGAATTGTTAGGTAGAGCTGAGGCCGTAAAGGTAAGAAGAGACACAAGATAATTATCGTACCAAAAGTTTTGTTTTGAAAAAAAAGATTAATTGTATTATTACTTTTTTTTTTTTTTAATTTCACCATTATTTTGGTTTTCTTATTAGTTATTAGCTAGGTGATTTTGTTTCCTTTTTTTTTTTTTTTAGTCGGCTCTGTATAATATTGGAGAGATTTTTCAATGACATTAAATTTCAATGACATAGATGGTAAATGGTGTGTAATTATACTGGTGCTTTAGTTCATGTAGAAAAAAATGATTTTTTTTGGTTTGATAGCGATATGGGACCTGAGGGTCATTTTATTGGGAAGTTAGCCCAATTGTCTAAGCGGGATGTCATCTTTATGGGTGAAGTGTTGGCTCAACAAGAATAATTGAATTCTATTTGGCTAAGGAAAGAAGGAAGCTTGGAGCTAAATATTATTAGAATTATTACTAAGGGGTATCGAACCCACGACCTCAAGCATAACAACACAAGTCCAAGCCACCAAACTCCATGCGAATTGCCAAGTCCGGCAAATTCGCGCATGTGGGTTGCGATAACCCACATGCCCCAGCCACCAGACGCTATGCGGATTGCCAAGTCCGGCAAGTCCTTGCATATGGGTTGCGATAACCCACATGCCCCAGCCACCAAACGCCATGCGGATTGTCAAGTCCGGTAAGTCAGCGCATGTGAGTTGCGATAACCCACATGCCCCAACCACCAAACGCCATGCGGATTGCCAAGTTCGGCAAGTCCGCACATGTGGGTTGCGATAACCCACATGCCCCAGCTACCAAAAGCCATTCGGATTGCCAAGTCCGCGCATGTGGGTTGCGATAACCCACATGCCGCAGCCACCAAACGCCATGTGGATTGCCAAGTCCGCGCATGTGGGTTGCGATAACCCAAATGCGCCAACCACCAAACGCCATGCGGATTGCCAGCTACCTGGGTTCGATTCCTATCAGTAGCATATCTAGCTATAGCGCGCCCACCCCGTGGGTCGTATTCTCTGTATTTGGGCCGCCGTTTTAGGGCCTGTACCTCAGACTTTGTACGTGCTATTTTGGGCTTAACGCCCCGGGTGTCATTTCTTTTAATTAAACAAAACGACATCGTTTTGAAGCGCAGTGCATAATCAATTAAGCACCGCAGTGCACAATATAATTTCCCGTTCAAGTAGCGATACACCTGTGACATGACAGGCAAATTATTATGTGGACTCGAGTCTACAGTGTAAGGTTGATTCGAGTCTAAAATACACAATTAAAATACAGAATATTCACAATTTACATATTGAATGTTTACAATTTTATAAAAGGTAACTGTGAACATTTAGTATGTAAATTGTGAACATTAAATATGTAAATTGTAAACATCAATATGTAAATTGTGTATTTTGGACCTGGATCCACCTTGCATGGTGGATCCTGGATCCTGGTCCATAGTATAACTCTCCTGACATGACTAATCAATTTGGTCAACAATGATTGTATGATGTTTGAGTTGTTGGTCAAGTAAAAGTTAACAATGTAGGCGTTACATTTGCACATCACACAACACTACAAAACAATGTCATCTGAAAAATGATTTTTAAGAGTCAACTGCTTTGAAATGGGCTCTTTAATTTGCTCGCCATATTTATATGTAGTATAAGCTATAAAGTTTGGACTTTGGAGCCCATAGTCTTTCTGCAGGGCTCATTGTTAGTATACCACCCATTTAATACTCATAAACTCTTACATACTATCATGCAACATAGCCCATATTTCACATATAGTAGTTGTTGTTGTTTTTGTTATTATGCAAATAAAAATATTTAATAAATAGCACATTGTTAAGCGACATTTTGGAGGGTGTATTTAGTATTCTACTATCAAAATGTAACACTTAACTCTTAAGTAGTGATAAACGATTGATCAGACAATTTTGCACTAAAAAATAAGAATAAGGGTCAAATAGGCCATCGAACTACACAAGATAATGCAATTAGGCCACTGAACCTAAAAAATCAACAATCGGGTCCCTAAACTAACCAATTTCAAACAAATCTTCCAATTTGTAGGTTTCCAACAGGTTAACAGGTCATCCTCCTAAATTAATTATTTTTTAAAAAATAAAATATAAAAATTAATTATTTAAGTAATTAAAAAAAAAACAGAAACGGTCGGAGACGAAGAAACTTCTTCGTCTCCGGCCGTTTCTGTTTTTTTTTTTTTAATTACTTAAATAATTAATTTTCATATTTTATTTTTTAAAAAATAATTAATTTGGTTGTTGACCTGTTAGAAATCTTCAAATTGGATGAATTGTTAGGAATTTGTTAGTTTAGGGACTCAATTGTTGGTTTTTTGGGTTTAGTGGCCTAATTGTATTATCAGGTGCAGTTCGATGGCCTATTTGACCCTTATTCCCTAAAAATATAAATTAAATAAAATTAGTTAATTTCATAAATGGTCTTTTGACTATTGACATTTATCAATTTTTACCTCTGATTTTTAATTTGATCATATATAGTCCCTTCACTATTGACATTTACCAATTTTTATCATTGACTTTCAATTTTACCGTAAATGATCTCTTAACTATTGATTTTGTTTTAAACTTAATCATCCAATTTAATAGGAGTATTTATTTAGCAAACATTAAATTTAAGGTTGATAATGTAAAACAAAAAAAAAAAAAATAGTTTTTCAACACTAATGAGAACCCAATATATTAAATTTATGAATTCAATTTGCTCATTTCAACAAGAAGTGACTTTTTAAATTAGGAGGTGAGGCTTGAATTATAAGGCGATTGGGTGGGATCATGTGGAGAACATGCAAGTGTTAAGTAGGGCGGTGTGAAGAAGACACTTCCAATCAGAGAATTGAATGATTGATCGATGAATCTCTGCCACTGTTGGCGGCTTCTTCGTCTTCTATTCCTTTCAGACTTTAACACTTGGAAATTGGAAGCAGACCATGTGGACTGCACATGCTCATTTAATTCCAATTCATTTCTTATATATGCACATTCTCCCTCAACCATATAACCCTTCCAACTTATTAAACCTCCATCCCAATATCTTCGGCCCCATAGAGCAATTCAAAGCATGTAAATCACAGTAACGCAATGACTCAACAGACAAATACTTATAAGGAATTTGTTCACTTTAAATATAATCCTCACGTTGCTTCTATTGAGGTTCGATCCTTGATCTCTTCGATCTTTCAAATACTGCATACTGACATTGAGCTAAGTTTGTGTGGTTCATCCCAGTATCTTAAAACAGTCAGTCATTATCCAAATGTGCATTTTTAGATGGAACTCATTTTGTAACCCTAACTAGATATTAGTTGACAAATGATCATAAGGAAGTAAAGCAGCCTATGTTGTCCATAGTTGACCGGCTTAAATCAAGATAGCCAATAAGCAACTCATATGAATAGTGTAACTTGAAACATTAAAGTTATCAAGCTAACTATCTGACCAACTTGACTCAAGTTTCCTCCAAATTTCATATGATCGATTATTATAAGAGTGCACCATGTTAAAGAATTTTGTGGACAACGATCTTAATTCGTGTAAATATATATCATATTACGTTAAAAATCTCTATAAATGGTGATCTAGATCGAATCCAAAGTAATCTTATAACACATGCTATAACATATTCAAATGAAGTTTGGTCATATGGACAAGTCAATCATTTATTAAACTCACTTTTTTCAGTTTTCATACATGAGGGGTTCAAAGACACATGTCCAGATTGATTGGCACCCTATGTAGATATTAAAGAGTCCTTTCTTTAATGTTATGGTTATTATAAATTAAAATAAAAGTGACGGGCCAGCACAAGGCTGAAAAAGGGATATATATATATATATATATATATATATATATATATATTCAGGCGTTGATTTGCCTTTTTATGATACCTTCAGGGCTTCATTATATTGTAGTTCGTAGCGTCATTTTTGCCGACATTTTTTAAATTTTGAATTTGACTAGTCTGGCCCTGGAATTAATACACCATGGATCATGTGCCAACTGCTTTAATTTACCTCTCTAGACCCTTAAGTAACAATGTGACTTAGAAGGGTGATCGGGTGGTGAAATATAATTATTGTGTTAGAAGATTACAAGTTTGATTTTTATTAATATTTTTATAATTGAGCTTGTCCCACATAACTTTTTTAGTGTTGTTTTCAGGTTATACACAGGAGTATAATTTACTAAATACACACCATCAAATAGTAGTTGTAAATTTCACAAAATTTAAAATATTTATAACTTTTTCATCACTGGTAGTGGTGGTTATAATTTACGACCACTTACCTTTTTCAACGAACTTTGGTGGGTGGTTAGAAATTCCGACCATAAATAACATGTGGTCAAAAAATTTCTTAACCTCAATAACTAAAATCTCTAATTCTCATTTGGCAAACTCGAATTATGCATTTGCAGATAGAAAACCCAATTATTTACTTATCTTAAATGGGAAGGAAATAATGATTTTTAAAAAAATAAAAAATAAAAATTGACAAGTACATTTTACCTACAGTAAGGAGTGAGGACCCATAGAGAAGGAAAAAGCATGCATATATACTGGGATTGCTGATTGCTGGCACGACATTGCTGGCGCTAGAATACAAATGTTTTGGGGCCTACTACCCTGGCCCACCTCTTCCGTAACTCCGTAAATAAAGTCAAAATCTGGTCTCCCTACTTTTGTCAATCATCTTGGAATAATCTTTTGTTCTAAAACCTACACTCTCTTTTCGTCGATGCCACTGATATGGGATAGCGTGAATCACTTTCTATTTTTATCTAACATAAACATTATTAATTAGTTTGGATGTGTGAGATCCTGGTAGTTTAACAACAAAATAAATAATATATATATATATATATATATATATATATATATATATATATATATATATATATATAATGTTAGCTATTAGCTGATTGAGTTAATGAGTTTGATTAGTTGATAGCTATAGTTAATTTTTAAAAAGTAATGTTTGATCGATAAATTAACTGATAGTTGGTTACATTAAAATGATTTTTTTAAAAAAAATATTTTTAGCATTTTGAAATAATAAGTTGTTACAAAAAGCTAATTAATCAAAAAACTCATATTGATTGTTTAACCAAGTCAAACAATTAATAGTGGTCAAATAAGTCAAAATTGACCGATAAACTAACTATATTACTAAAGAGGACCATT